TCAGCGAAGGTGAAGCACAGCTATGAGTTTCGAACAAGGTGTTGGTACACGAATTAGGATATTTTCCGCCGTATGACAAGACCAGCAAGACAGTATCCTTGAACCACGCATGACGTTGGTACGGACGTAATGCTATAGATGGTCCAGACGGTCCATCCTTTGACAATTTGGCCCTTGCTGTGCGCCTCGTGATTCGGCAAACCCTTCCTCCTGAAAGATCGCCGGCGATGGAAGATCTCAATCAAGTGGGCACCGGACAGTACTACGCCCTAAGAGGGAACCGCCCGCCTTGAGCGAGATTTGAATCTTGATAATTTCCTCCACTTCCAATATGTATTATTGCCCTGCGCCGTACCCTGCACGTGTTCAGCAAGGAAACAAAGAAGCAAGGACCATATTGCCCCTTCTTGTATATACAGAACCAGCAGCCATGGCTTTTGATAATTGATAAGCAGTACTTCATAACGTATCCCGAGATATGCTACAACGAGGAAAAATGCGTCTTGGCTCGGTCATTGGATCGTGGGGTCCCCAATTCTAGCGGACTTGAACCCCGTCTTTTTGACGTTGAGATCGTCGCCGCTGTAGTCTGCCCCTCCCGTTCCCGGAAGAGTTCCGTCGATTCTATCGACGCTACGGATTCTTTACTTGCCTTGTATGCTTACTATATACCAATAGTGACAATCGAATGTTGATCATCGAATTATTCTGCATCTTCTAGCTTCCCGGTTCGGTTTAGCATAGGACGCTCAAGATCGAGCCAGATCGTAGTTCGAGCATGTCCAATGATTCTCAGCGGCTAATAGAAAGCAATATAATTGTAATTATCACAAAAATTTAATATCGTCGTCACAAATGGTGTGTTACCAAGTAAGGATGACCATTGTGAGATAGCACAAGTCGCTCTCACCGAGCTAGTCCATCCCCTCCATACACCGTGCCTCATCTATTCCGATGATAGTCGCTATGTATGATGTCAACTTCGTTAAACCCGGCCCCTAGCCTACTGATAAGCAGTACAAGAGCAAAAGGGCGCATAGAAAGATCATCACTCACGTAAATAAACTCGTGTACGAACGAAAAAGAAGTATTCGCTAGTATTGGCAGTGTATCGTAGTCAGTAAATACGAATAGTGACATATTTTTTCTTTCTTTGTTTGGAAACTTCCCAAGAGGGGCGGGGCCAATTCTCATCACAACTGTCCTACGCAGCCCTAGACAACACTTGTTACAGCCGAGACGAGGCACACGAAACAAACACGGGCATCAAAGATACGTCAGGATCGCCAGCTTTTAATCTAATTGTTGGGTATGGTAAACAACAACAGCAACAAATAGCGATAGAACTGGATTTTCTTCGTATCATCCAGTAGTCTGGGTCCTAGAAGGCCTGGAAGGAGGCTTAGAGAGTTCGTAAATCGGGCGGCCGAGAATTAACACTCAATTGGACCAACTGATAATCAAAAATGGGCTTCGCTAAGGAAGTTTCGTCGTTGCCGTCATCAGGGACTCAAGATCAACATACTAGACCGCGCCTGTTGCGTAATTAGTGCCGATCTGTAAGCCCCGCCGGCCGGCTTCCTAATACATACATTTCATATTGATGATGAGCTTCCTTATTGGTGTTCCCAAGGCAGTGGTTTGGATCCGCCATGATTCAATTCAAAGCCTGCTTGTCTCAGGGTCGTCTTTTACACATCATCAATTTCATCAGTGGCTCGGGATCTTTCTATGTGATCCAGCCTTTTACTTTACGGGTAATCCATTCATATTCTTTGCCCCTGGGCTGATGAGGTGTTTCTGCTGTACCAGCCTGACCTACACACCTACGCACATCATACAAGGTGGGGAAGTCGTCCCTTGCGTTACGGTCTATGTACGGATAGATCCCTTCCCTCCTCCGCAACTTGTGAACCCGTTAGATACCGGAGCACAATGGCCGCACGACTACAACCCGGCGACCGCCAGATCTGACATGTCGCCTAGGCCGGACGCCGGCATGGACCCCATAGTGTAGGTGCGGGTTTCGGGTAGCTACCGGCCATTATCCCGAATGGCTGGCGTTGCCTAGGTATTCGATGAGTCAAACATTGCAGCATGTCTAGCTCTCCAACGGCTTCAGTTAGACATCACAGCGATCCTACCTCAAGCCCACGCACTTCATCGCCATCAACAATATTACTACTATGATATTACTACTATGGGTATATTACATGAGCGCATGAGTAACTTGCCGCCGGGTTGAGACAAAGCCGCGCACATGCATCCCGTGCTCGCTGAGAGGAAACACGGCACAGCACCGAAGCGGGAACGATCCTAACATCTCTTGGACCCCTATTTGAGTGAATTTGTAGCGTTTTCGTTTGTACATAGTAGTCTGAGACCAGGTTGTTTACATGCGTTGACAACAACTCTTCTTAGTCACGATACAGTCTACAATTAGACGCCAACGGTGGCCTCCTAGTAAGTCGTATACTCAATGCTAAGCCTCGTGGCGGCGGCCTCCTATCTGACCTACGGTTTACGCATGAATCTGGGGGTTATATTTAGAGTACCCTTTGTCCCGATCACCTCATCTCATTGGTCAATGCGATGACGATGTCGATGTAAATATCCAGCTGTGAAAATAAAACAGAAACGAAGAAAATAGTTGTAACTCGATCTGATGAGACGTGACACCATAGACCAACACAGCATTAGTGTACGATGCCAATTGAATGTAAGCCGTCGTAGTTTACGTCAAGTGATACATCGCAGCGACAATAACATCCAAGCACAGCCTCAACACCACCAACCCCCATCGATACCAGCTCGTTCGTGCGTCGTCACCCCGCCCCGGGCCACGACAGACAGCGAACCGACGCACTTCGGCGGGTATATGCATTGTGTCTGTTCAGTTAAACTAGGTCTTCCATATCTGCATGTCTACGAACTCTTGTGTATCTCAAAGTCTAGACCACTGTACCACTGTTTAGATGTGTCGTGGTAGCTCGTACGCGTGTGCGCTCTGCTGGGGCCGGGCTGTAGGCAGCTGTGCCTCTAGATAGATCTCGTCAATTGCTTCATTTCCCGAACTTGTTGTTAGCCTCGCCGTCCTACAACATAAGTCTTATGGTAAGAGCACGTTGTAGTACAACTAGCCCAATAACGAAGCTGACTAGATAGGATGAAGGCAACGTGGCTACACTGATACTATTTTACTTTCAATATTTCATAATGTGCTGCCAATGGAATAGAAAATGTAACAAGACGCGAGAGAAAGCCATACAGCTCGTCGCTAATAATAATTAGGTCCAGTGACACTACTTGTCTGTATGTAGGTGAGAGGCTCAGCCACGGGAACAGCAAACTACTTTTCAATTGATCATAGGATCGCCCCCGGATCCTTTCTGGGGTCGTATTACATACATAGAGCTCTTTGATGCGCATCTTTACGTCTAAGCGACGAAAATACGTTAACTGGAGAAGTAATGCGATGTGGGTGATCGGGGCGCGTCCTTTCTACGATCAGGGGAGGATCGTAAAAATAGTGACCTCTCAAACGCTCGCAATGCCGAAGAGAAAAGGAATGGTACTTACGGGAGTTTTGAGTATAGTTGGATGTCTAGATTCCCTTATGTTCCTACTCCGTTTCCAAAACCATGGGTGTAGAGCCCGAGATGGATTAATCTCACTCCTCATGCTTCGTAGCCTCAGTGAAGTTTGCCCGGAGGAAGTGCTAGATCTGGGAAACGGACCACCGGGTCTATAAAATGCTGCAGTGTATTCTTGGCAGCCGATTGTTTCCTGGTAGACCATATATCAACGTTGGGTGATATCAAAGGCTCGTCTCATGGCCACTTGAATTTCTGTACTAACCGGGATTTGTCGGTGTTAGTCTATGAAGAGCTTAATGATCCTGTTTGTGGTCGGGATCTGTAAATCGGTAGGACGGGAGGGATAGCCGGCTACGGGCGTCAAGGCTGTGTTCACCGTTACAACATGACTTCAGCTGGACCTCCAAAAGATCCTAAAAAGCATAGACGGCTCCATTCAATAATCCCAAGTGATGATTTAATGAAAGAGGGATACTAAATAGGTATTCTATAGTTATACCTGAGGATGAGATGATAGTGGTAAATACCATCGCTTATGTGCTCGAGTGAGCCTTCGTGGCCTCTTCAGCACCACAGAAACATCAATGACAACACCAATTCTTTCCTAACTTGACAATAGGTGTAATGAAGATGTAACACCATCACCCGCCTACGAGAAACGAATTACACTAGCCATACAACTCAGACATGGGGGCGTGGTTTCGAGAATATTAGTATTCTGTATAACTATCGAATCAAATCTTTGGTAAGACACTGATTTTCATGCGGGCACGACCCGGGGGATTAATCATTAACGTGGGTGAGACAGGGCAAGTGATTATACTGTGGTCAATAACTGAGGCGAAGTAGACAAGCTCCTACTTGAGATGACCGACGCCGACATATCATTGGAATGGTTATGTAGGTACATAGTAGATGATCCTCTTTCATGCAAAGCATCTGTTGATACATATGATTTGTGATATGGCATGAATAGCACCAAGGTTTATATTATTAGCCAGCACCGAATGCAGAACTGAATGGTCATCCATTTGCCCTAAATTCTTATTAATGTGAACTTGATGTTCGCGCCCCTTTGTTTGGATTGCCCAGCCTCATGGTAATTACAATGGCCAGGTTTCCACCTAGACCAAAACTCTCAAACACAAAGGCCGGGTAACTAGAACAGGGTAATGCGAACGACATATGTCCGCTTGAGGGAACGTGGCCGGCGTCATACTGGCGACGAAAAGCCTCTTGGAACGAAATCGCATCATCATACCGGAATAGTCCAAAATACCTTGGAATTATTCAGGGATCCTTATGGCATTTGCAAATGAGTGACGTAGACCGGGGGGTTATAGACAACCTATGAGGTTAACGCGCACCACGTCAACGTGATCCTCGCGGGAAACCCCCAGGGCACTATCTTGAGGGGCCAATAATCTTAGCCGCAAAGAAAGGATGCTTGAGTGCCTCGGACGGAGTAATTCTTTTGTCCGGGTTGAGTGTTAGACATCTTTCTAGTAGGTCTATGAAGTGGTTGAGATCCCTAGACTCCACATCATTCATGCCACCAGAGGCAGCCAAGAGGCGAGTACGCAAATCACGGGTCGGTTTGACAACGGCTAGGGTCCGTACGGTGGTCTGAATATCAGTTAGCTTGTAGGTCTTGAATATACTATTTCAAAATCTAGACGAAAGAGACGCGGGGCCGAATAGAATTATGACAAGGGAATGTGTTAGAGGGTGGTCGAGAGCGTCAGCTCAACGCCGCGAGACCCGGCAGTATTAGTATCGTAGGTGCATTAAATACATCCCAACCTGACACGGCAATAATGGAATATGACCGTAGGATTCCATACTGACTGCTCGCTGACACACAGTGGAGTAATCCCGACGGCGAGAGGACGACCAACCTGAATAAGGATATCCGTGCGGCTGGCTTGCATTTCTCCGAATGCATCCATTCGTTTTAATTGTGACTTGCCTGCAGCTTGCAGTCGCACCCTGGAGCCCACAGTAGCCTGAGTTTCCAGAAAAGCGCCTACTTAAACGCTGTATATAAATAGAAACTTGAAGGGAACCATACTAAAGATTCTCTAGTAAGATGTAACGGAGGTATTAGTGAACTAAGAAATGTGAACGTACCTTTCCAAGCGCTTTATCTGTCTCGAGGCTAATAAAATTTCCGAAGTCGTCAAAATGCATATGAGATAACTGACCACGCTTGTACAACTTGCTGCTAAACTTGCCGCGGATTTCCATGATAGCCTTGAGCATCTGGTTGTTACTGTCTCCTGTAAATAGGATTTTGCCGGTGTAAAGCTCATATAATGTGCACCCTATGGACCACATGTCGACGGCATAATCATACGGCATCCCGAGAATGATCTCCGGAGCTCGATAAAACCGACTGACTAAGTACGGTGTGATTTCGTTGTTCGCGGTTGCAGCGTCTGATCTATCAATAGCTGTGCCCAAATCACAGATCTTGAGGACATTGCGAGTTTCGTTTACCTGCACAAGATTAGTGGTGGCTCAACCCGCTTTGCATGATGTGCTTGCTTACCAAGATATTGTCCGGCTTCAAGTCAGCATGAATGATACTGCATTTGCGAAGATGAGCTAAAGAAACAAATATCTGATGTGCATAGGCGCGCGTCGCGCCCAGATTAATGCCGATATTGTTACCAAACTTTCTTAAGACCTCTCTTAAGTTTAGGCTGAGGTTCTCAAATGCAAGACAGAGGTGACCCTTGTGTTCGAAATACCGCTCGAACTTGACAATGTGCTTACGGTTTTCAGGGTCAGCGTCGTTTAATTTTTGCAAAATTGCGATCTCGGTAAAGCCACCCTTTCTGAGAGCATCGTTGTTTCGCATCATCTTAATGGCAACCAATTTCTTACTTGTAATGTCGACTGCTCGAGCGACACCGGAAAACATGCCTTTACCTAGAGTTGTTTGGACTTGGTATCGACCATCCATGATCTCACCAATTCGGATTTTGTAGTATCCATCTTTATCGTCTCCCTCGAGAATGCCACCGGCATTGGGCTGAATAACAGTAAGGGGCGCTTTGTGGTTGTCTACGGTGGTGTCTAGATGTGTGGGTTTGGGGGCAGCGAACTTCTCTTCATCGAACTCTTCGGCGAACATATCGAAGTCATCGTCATCGTCAGTCTTCGGCTTCTCTGCTACTTGCGGCTCTTCTATTATAGCGATTTCGGCCTTTTCATCGGGAGGAAGTGTCTCTCCGTGGGGACCAATATGACCATGCCGAAGCTCGTCTCGTAGCTCATCCTCTCTCATATCTACAGTTGGATCATAATCTGCAGCGGAAGGCCCATCATCATCAGTACCTTTAAATTTACCATGAATGTTGATGAGCTCTTGATCATTAGAAATCTCGATTGCAGCAGGTGACATTCCTTCTTGAAGAACACGGGCTGGCGAGTTCGGCGATGAGGCAACTGTAAAAGGGGTTAGAGATTACTCGACATTATTATAGTCAGGGGATCCTTACAAGAACCGGGTGTATTTCCATCAACAGCCATAGGTGTGCTTGCTCGTGTTCGCCCTGGTGAGGATGCATTCGTCTTTTCGGAAGCTTGGAGAGCTTGGACTAGCATTGGCGTAGCACCGCGTGATTTGGCGAGAAGCTCTTCACGACGTCGGCGTCGGCGTTCTAATTCTGCCTCTATGTTTTCAGGCTTCTCTTCGTAGTCCTTATCTGGTTCGCCGGATTGAGTTGGAGGAGCTGTAAGAGTAGTTTCCTCCGAACTACCTGGTGCACGTTTAGTGTCATCTTTGCTAGTACCTTGTGTTTCTACCGAGTCTTGTCGCTCATGATACTTTGCATGATCTTGTGAATGCCGAGGGGTGCCTTGATAGCTCGACCTAACACTTCCTACGCTGTCTTGATCAGGAGCGCGTTGATTTCTGCTGTCATCATACCGCAGCTTGCCTCCTCGGTTTCTATCGTTCGGTGGTCTGTACGGAGAACGAGAGCGGTTTCTATGGCGCTTTCTAGGGTGTCGTTCACGGTCTCGGCTTCGATCTCTCCCTTTAGTACGAGTAGTATAGTCTCGATCCCTATCGTCATAGTAGAGGTTGGGCGCCGACGAACGTGAAGGGGGGCGGTCCTCGTCATCGTACGACAAGCGCGACCGGCGGTAACCGTCGGTATTGTCTTCGTAATGTACGCGAAATCGTCGTGGATCTGAATCTAGGCGGCTACCACGATTCGAATCACGATCATCGCGGGGACGCTTACGTCCGCGAGGAGAGCGACTTCGTCGAGAAGAGCCGGGGGCATATCTCGAGCCGTTCACATTATCGGGTGATCTTGATCTTGAATATCTAGCTCGAGTTCTGTCGATACGGTCAACACCGGTTCCTTCAAACTGAGGCAGTGAAGTTGCCTTCAAGTCTCCAACGCCATTCTCTACAATCTCCCCTTCGTCAGAACTAGGAGGAGTTGCCATTTTTTGCTCACTGTATCAAGAAACTAGGCCTAGAAAGCGCGGGTATCTTCCCGATCTTAATATAAGGGAAATACTTGTCAGCCACAAAAATTTCGTTATTGGAGGTGCATAGAATTGAGCCGAACCGTCAAAGCGTCTCTTCAATTCCGTCGCATCGTAAATCAAAATATCGAATACGGGAAGGTGATATATAACGTCCGGCAAGGTATGCAGGATGCCGGTGTAGTCAAAGCAAAAGAGCTATTACGGGTAAGGTGCTTCCGTTGAAGGGGTATGGATGTGGATGTTCCTGATCCGGTAATTTTTGAATCGCTTCAAGTCTGGACTGCATGTGGTGACGAAGTGATAAAACAACTTACGTTAGATCTACTGTTTGTTTGCTGCTGCGCCCAACGCCTCAAATAAAAAAGGAATTATGTATTACCGAGTCCGAGTTGCTTATCAAATGAAATGGATGTTTGGATCCACTTGGGGCTGTGCAAATCAAGACCAGACTTGGCCTAGGCACATGTAAACGCACATTGTGAATCATGTTCGTGCATCTATGGAACGGTACCTAATACTTCGTACTTTATGGATCTAAGCTAACATAAATTGGGATTAGTGCCATTGGACCCTTTCTTCATTAGTGCCCCGCGGTCAGCACATCTCTTCGGCTGTTCCAGACTTTGGTTTCTTTTTCTCTTTCCTTCGCGACAGCCTTTTTATTCCGCCACTTGTAACGGATAAATACAATCCATCTGACCTCTCGTGTAAAAATCATCTCGATCAAAAACACTAGCACAAAAAAAAAACTCATTCAAAATGGGTGGCCAGAACAGAGAAGGTAACTTGAAATCCATATGACTACGCTAAATAGACTTTCGACTGACAACGATATTTTGTTAGGCGGCAAAGTCAAGCCCTTGAAGGCTGCGAAGAAGCAAAACAAGGAGTACGACGACGAGGACAAGGCTCACCAAGAGAAGATGAGACAGCGTATGTTCCTCGATGACGACTTAATATTACAGCTCATCGCTAACCTCGATTAACAGAAGAGAAGGAGCGCAAAGAGATGGCCAAGATGGCTGGTGGAAAAGGACCATTGAGCACCGGTGGACAGGGTATCAAGAAGAGCGGCAAGAAATAAGACATGCAATCCTACGATCATACGATTCACGGAAGTGACGAAGCTATGGCGCCGAGAACATGGATGCATAGAGCGTGGGTGTTTACGGATGGATGACTTTCATGTTATAGCCAGGGTTAATGGGCATACTTTATCGCGATGACTTTCAATATACCTTTTATTCCACCTGATATATACATATACATATATACCTACCTAGGTATATATGACTGGAGTTAAAGCACTACATAATATTATACGCTAGATTTGCCTTGATCTTCGTATAAGTCGTCCCAATAGCACCGAGTAAAAGAGACGGAGGAATTAAAAAGTTTTGGCCCACCAAGTGAAAACAGCTGCCAGGACTTTCACCGGTGCCACTAATTTCTCAACAAAACTTACGAGATTTACTTCGTATACGGCCCAACGTTTCCATGTAAAGAAAAGAGCGTAAAAAAGTGAAAAACGTTAGATTACAAATTTATCTATAATTTATTTATATTTTTCGTGTTTGCTCTCAGTGGGGGGTATAGCAGTAGTAATCTAGAGATCCGTTCGGATTGAAACGATAAACGGAACAAAGCCGGGATTCCCGTACCTTGCCTAGGTACCTACGCATATCATGGCCGACACACATCCGGACTCCGGCCTCCGGAAGCGCCGCGCAAGTTTCGTACAATCCGCCAAGGATGTAGAACAGAAGATCGCCTCGGCGTTGCTTGTGCTGTGGGATGACCTGCCGTCCTGGCGGCGTGATAACCATTACATCGTCACGGGATACCGTCCGGACAGCAACAGCTACTGGCGGTCCTTCACCTCCATCTTCTACGTCCATAACGATTTCGTTAACATCTGGACGCATCTCCTCGGCGCCATCTTCTTTCCCTCCGTAGGAGCCTGGTTGTATCACGTTATTGCGCCTCGGTACGCATCTGCCAATAGCTCGGACGTGTTGGTGTTCGCTTGTTTCTTTACTGGCGCAGTTCTGTGTCTTGGTATGAGCGCTACGTTCCGGTATGTTTGAATATTCTTACCACACCTTTCTGTGGTCAGCTATGAGCCATAGCCTCTATTTTGAAGTTATTTACCCGTATATTTACTAATCGTTGAGCAGTAAGTTGTCAGCACCTTGCTATTAATCCCATATGTCTTTCTCGTGGTATTCTATGATACTATTTGGGGAAATGTTTTGGATGATAGTGTATCAATCCGTCTAGATGCCTTAATAAGACATGTGTTCCTTGTGAAGGTCCCTAACATACAATAGACACACTTTTAAATCATTCCGCGGAAGTAGCAAAGTGGGGGAACAAGCTAGATTACTCGGGCATCGTCTTTCTTATCGTAGGGAGTTACGTTCCGGCCCTCTACTACGGTCTATTCTGCATGCCGAAACAAATGACGATCTACTTGTATGGGGTATGTATACACTTATTGTTTAGACCGCATTGCGAACAGTCTACCTACATCTCGTATAAGAGGAAAACAAGTTCGGGCGCTAAGAGATTCTCTTTCCATATAGATATTCCTTCTAGGTTTTGGCTGTGGTGTCGTGTCTTGGGTCGAGCAGTTCCGGACACCACGTTGGAGACCCTACCGAGCGGCCATGTTTGTGGGTCTGGGTGTATCTGGAGTTGTCCCTATCTGCCATGCACTTTGGATATACGGTTATCAGACACTCAATGAGCGTATGGGTCTTAACTGGGTTTTATTCCAAGGATTTCTCTACATCTTTGGAGCGTTTCTTGTAAGTCTCTCCTGGAGTTTCCCATCACCTCTCTTCTTAGGGCCCCTTGCAAGCTAGAATATGTCTACGGACATAACATCTCGTAGAGATTTACCCAACGTTCTACGAGTAAAAACCGCTAACTTTAGAGTGATCTAGTATGCAGTAAGTTACTGAAATATCCACATACTGCTGGAAAAAATACTAACATTCATATGGGTTCGATGGCCTGAACGAAGTTTTCCACGGACCTTTGACATATGGGGCAGCTCTCATCAGATATTTCATGTCCTCGTCTTACTTGCGGCTGGATCGCATTTGACCGGCATGATTAAAGCATTCGATCATCACCACAGTATCATGGGGGGAGAATGTTAAGAACGTAATTGACAATAAATTAGAGTTATTGTGTTCCTTACCACAAGGCACCATTTATAGGATTTGGAAAGCTAATCGCTTGAGATAATCCACAATGGAACTGGTGTGGTTTGGGGGATGCATCGTTGCCCTCCTCTCGGGGAAGTTGATTGTGTACATGGAAGTGACTAGGTAATGTGTACTCTATCTAGACTTAACAGTCTTTAATAGTCGATTAGAACAGGTGGCGAGCATGGTTACTATGTAATTATAATGAAGGGCGGGATTAAGGATGTACGAAGAGCTCTATTCGCTCTGATAACATGCTTGTACTATAGACTAAGTTGTACTCTGCCCTACAAGCGTTCTATAAAACCATCCCTCAAAAAGAGCAATTGATAGGATCTGGCACGACCTGCTGGGTAGGTCCATGGATTTGCATATAGTAAAGTTGATAGATATATAAGTCTGTAATCTCAACTCGTGGCTTCTTAAGTGCTTATGCGTTTATGTATAATTAGGTGGCCACGCGAATTGCTGCAAAGTTGTCCTTATATCCTGCACCGCTTCATCATACCTATTCTACTAACTCGAAATCGCCGTCTGGGCTCTCCCCTATTTCGATATTTCCATTGTGGCCATCATCATCACGGCCAATATTTGGCTCGGCCAATTCGAGTCCCTCAGAGTGCTCTTCTGGTTCCCCTTGCATATTTTCGATGCCAAGATCCATGACCCTCACCAGCCCGGACCCCATTGCTGCCGCGGCCCACCAGCTAAACTCCACGTTCGGATTCCAACACAAGGCCGTAATGCGGGTTTGGGCCTCGTGGACGACGATAGGGGCTGGAACCATAGTGAAGTAATCTTCATCTGATTCCGCTGGGTCTTCAAACGGTTCTTCATTCTCCGGCTTCTCGGCCTTCTTATTAGCCGCTTTCTTCTCCCCTCTAGCACGCTTGACTCTACTCTCCTTCGCGATCCTCGTGCCTAGGGGATGAAAATTGACTTGAGGTAGAAATCCATGGAGGATACGACATCCCCCACGGGGCGGAATTTGCTCATCATCGTTATTCGTAGCATTAGGAGAGGGAGGTGCAGCGTATTCATGCTGAAAGATTTTGATCTTATGTGTTTTCTCCCTGTGCGATAAAACTTTGCGCATAACGTTGAGGGTCCAGACTGATCCATCTGAGCTTCCAACGAGGAGGCATGGGTGACAGGTTCCAAACGCAAGACAGCTCGTCTGGCCCTCTACAGTGCATATATGACGCGAAAGAGGGAATACCCGAGAATGTACAAAAGAAACGGTTGATGTACCCGGAAACGAGGTAGGCCATATAGATGCGAAACCCCTTAAATGGTCGCTCCAAGAAAGGACGTTTGGCTGAAGGGAAACCAACGGGTTTCCATGGTATGTCTTCTCTGCGGTAGGTCGGTTCAAGTCGGTCAAAGTGAATACACCCCCCATAGGCATCGTTGCAATAAGAAAGGGTTTAGAGGGGTAACCGGATACGATGTCCATTATAGGGCTCGAGTGAACGGGGTGGCGTTGCAGTTGCTGGAAGGGCGAAACCGACCATACTACCACGGAGCCGTCAGAAAGGCCGACGACAATACGGTTCATATTCAGCCAGGAAAAGCAGTTTATTTCCAGAGTATGTTCTTTAGGAGGCTCTATAGTGACCATCGGGTCCTGCATTTCTTCTACTGAAATATTAGCGATCTTCAAATGTCTCCTATTGCATTATGAATCCTTACCAAAAGTCCCAATCCTATCTCTCTCTGGATCACGCTTGATCTCCATGATCCTCAACTTCCCATCTCCACACAACGCAGCTAAGAGAGCTATGCCATGCGTAATGGTGAGCGGGACAGGACACCACTGTATTCGTTTTACTCTTCCCCAATAGAAGCATATTGCGTGTATTAATTCCGGAGAGGATCGCGCCGGCCGACTGATCCCTCCAGAGTCCTTTTCGGCCTTGAATTTCCAAATCTGAATGGTCCCCTCTTTCAGCTCTGACGGTTTTGGTGCATCATTCAGATCCCTATAAAAGGCCTGGTCCGAATATGGGATGACTGACATAGCTAGGAGTTGATCTGCATGGTCTTTGACTGGAGCCCATCCCATAGAAAGGACGATGCCCCCAACATCAAGTAGCCAACCGCCGTTCTGTAGCTCATTATTACTTTCATCCTCGGTTGGAAGTCCAGAATCCGATAATGATATGCATTCTCCTTGCTTAATGAGGTATTCTTTCTGGTTCGATATATGACCGAGTAACACGCGCATCTCACCGTCGGCTCGTGGAAGAAACCACCGGAACGCCTTCGATTTATCTATAAGAGTTGATTCTTGCGATCTAGTTCGTATAGCTTGATATCTCTCGTACCAATGGCGATACTTATTTTCAACATGCTGGGTGAAATCGCTGGACATCCACCCGTTCCGCGCCACCTCTAACTGGTGGGATCCTTGTGGAAGCTTGGGAGGTAAAAGCTGAAAGTTGAACCACAATTTCATGAATTCATTGAAGACTTCTCTGCGGTTTTCCATATCACCAAACCAATAATCGACCAGGTATTCAAGTCGCGTCCATCTTTTGACTGGGCCAACGTAAGTCCTTGTCCATTTCTGTGCAGGGTCTGTTGGGTAGGGCTGTACTTCGCCAAGTGGTTTGGCTGGATTTGGTGCCCAGGAGCGCCTGTTTTTCTTGCGCCTTGATTCAGATTGCCTGCCATCTTGTGATTCAAAATCCGAAGAATCATGAGGATCATCGTCCTGCTCATCTTTGCGATCTAGCGGTTGGGCATCTACCATGAATTCATCATCAGACAAATCGTGGGCTTGTTGGGCTAAACCCGATTGTTCTCCATCAGAAATATCGAAAGGTAGACCGTTATTAAAACGCTTCCCTTGATTTGATTTTCGAAGTCTCATCGTGATTATCTTAGCAGCATTTACACGCGGAGTCGCGTATAGTTTTAATGCACATGTATGCAATACATTGAAAAAAAGCTAAGAATTTGCTAGGTTCTTTTCTAGGTATAAATTACTGCCCGATCTAGATTAAAAAAGTGTTTATTTAATCGTTGACAAAAGCGCGAAAGTAATGAGTATTTCAATGTTATTACAATGAAGGTTGTTAAGGAATTAAGTGTTAAGGAAGTACGAAACGACAAACTCGATAGTGGGGCAGGGGACTGAAAAGTTCCCAATGCGGTGGTTGTAATAAACTCTATTCGTTGGTGGGACAAATCGAAGATTCGAAGACAGGAATAAACTCTCTTCTAAATTAAATTAAATTTAATCATACATTATGTACACTTTTTCTATATCTACCTATAAGCTATCGAGATATTTACACATAGGTAGATAACTAATAGCTTTTACTAGACAAAATATTAACCACTTAAAAATGTATAAACTAAGACTTAACAAACACCAACAGTAATAAAGGACTTCGAAATAGTTTCATCACCTACTTTTACCACTTGATTACTTGATTCGTATTAAGTTATATCGCGTTAAAATATAACATCGATGCTATGTACTTTTCACTGTTAACTACATATCTCGGTACCTAAGTTGACATGACATACAGCATAAACTTTCGATTATTTTAAAAGCACGCGAGCAATATGATAAACATACGATGAACGTTACGTCTATCTCCATATTCCAACCATGTATTATGCAAGCGAGATACTGTCTCTTACTTAATTGCTTCGATTTGCTCGTATATATGACTCCAAACCTACCATGGAAAGGCGTCATCATGTTGGTTTAAACTAGAAATCCTCCCCATTGAAAGGAGGAGCCTTGCCGCAATATGTCATTTGATACTTCCACGATGACTTACATATATCTATATTTGACATTAGAAAGAGACCCGATGCTACTGGTCGTTCAATATACCCTTGAATCGATGGGGGATACATATATATCTGATGTTCTAGACCGCTAAAAGGAAAAACGTGAATTGAGGTGTGGGGACCAATCAGTAGCTGAAGAAATTTTCGGAAAATTGCCGATATCGCCAATTGCCACTCAATGTTGGTTATAACAAGGGAAGCAAGTACGCTGGTACGGCAGGGTATGGCAAGAAATCGTTAGTGTATTACTTGACTACCTGGTACCAGCAGCAAGCAGCAAGCACTTGCAAGGGGCCCTTGATGGCCCCTCCTTGCATACCCCACAATCTTTGTTTTAACTTTTTTTTTGTGTTCCGCTGTCGGGTACACCGATTTGAATTTAGTTCTATGACTCTTGAACTAAACTAATAAATCTTCCAATAATCGTAACATTTTTTTGCCATTGATCAGTCACCTTATTCCTAACGAAGGTGCTGGCGGGTAGTGTTTGAGGATATCTCACTATAGACTGATTTCGGCTTGTTGATACCCTCAAAATCTCCGTTGACTATTCTTTATCCTTTTATTATTATTTTGCCATCTCCCCTCTTTGCGCTATGCTTCGTTCACGGCAAGCTGGCCAAGCCTTAAAGGTTTTGGCTCAGACTTCGCGACAACAACGCCGTTCTCTCACTACGTCGTCGTCGTCTATCTCTTCCGTTGTTCAGACCAAGAAGAATGCCCCTACAGGTGTCAGAAGTCAAGCTACTTCAGCTCAATCGCCTGCGTACGTTGATATCCTTTTCTCACTTACACGCTTTCTATCGAGTGGCTATTTTCTACGAATACTCATTATATCTTCGACTACGCCACTAACATTCTAAATCATATAGTCAAGTCAGACAAGCCCCTGCTCCAGCGTTCAACACCGCCGACACGAAAGACCGAAACCATGTTCAACCCTTGGTCAACCCTCGAGCTCCTGAGATGGACGAGTCGTATGTTCTATTAATTATAATCTATTTCGTTAAAGCCCACGATGCTGACCAAATATTTCCAGGTTCATTGGGAAGACTGGAGGAGAGATTTTCCATGAAATGATGCTTAGGAGGGGTGTTAAGCACATATGTATGTTGCATATACGCCTACAATGATATTTGAAGAGACGTCTAATATGAGTAATAGTTGGCTATCCCGGCGGAGCTATTCTACCTGTGTTTGATGCCATTTACAACTCAAAACATTTCGAATTCATCTTACCAAAGCATGAACAAGGCGCCGGACACATGGCCGAGGGGTATGCGCGTGCCTCTGGAAAACCTGGCGTTGTGCTAGTCACTTCCGGTCCAGGTGCCACTAATGTCATCACTCCAATTCAGGATGCCATGTCTGATGGCACGCCATTGGTTGTATTCTGTGGCCAGGTTCCTACGAGTGTGATTGGAAGCGATGCTTTTCAGGAAGCAGACGTTATAGGAATATCGAGATCTTGTACTAAGTGGAACGTCATGGTTAAAAACACCGCCGAATTACCGCGACGCATCAACGAGGCCTTCGACATTGCGACTAGCGGGCGTCCGGGTCCTGTGCTCGTCGATCTACCTAAGGATGTTACTGCTGGTGTCCTGAGAAGGGCTATCCCTACCGAGTCAGCCATCCCAGGCTTACCTAGTGCAGCGTCCCGTGCCGCCATGGAAATTTCTCAGAAGCAGCTTCAAGCTTCTCTTCGCCGAGTAGCTGATTTATTGAATATCGCCAAGAAGCCCGTTATTTATGCTGGACAGGGTGTTGTCTCGTCAATTGGTGGACCTGAGGTCCTCAAAGAACTCGCTGAAAAGGCTTCAATACCTGTTACCACAACCCTTCTCGGTCTCGGTGCTTTTGACGAGCTAGATGAGAAATCGCTCTACATGCTAGGCATGCACGGCTCAGCGTTCGCTAACATGTCGATACAAAGTGCCGATCTTATCATTGCCCTCGGTGCCCGCTTTGATGACCGTGTGACCATGAATGTCACTAAATTCGCGCCTGCAGCCAAGGCTGCGGCTGCCGAGGGTCGTGGTGGTATCGTGCAGTTCGAGGTCATGCCGAAGAATATTAACAAGGTTGTGCAAGCAACCGAAGCTATCGAAGGTGACGTAGCAGAGAATATCCGACAGCTTCTTCCTTTGATCAACATAAAGAGTATGTCGGACCGTAAGGAATGGTTCGGCCAGATTGATTCGTGGAAAGCAAAATGGCCTATGAACGCCTTTGAGCGAACCGAACGAGCGGGAATGATCAAGCCGCAGGTTCTAATCGAAGAGCTTAGCAAGTTAACGGCCAACCGAAAGGAGCACACGATTCTCACGACAGGTGTTGGCCAGCACCAAATGTGGGCGGCGCAGCATTTCAGGTGGAGACACCCTCGGACCATGATTACATCCGGAGGCCTCGGCACTATGGGATACGGACTTCCCGCTGCCATCGGTGCTAAGGTTGCTCGGCCAGATGCCCTTGTTATCGATATCGATGGTGACGCTTCCTTTAACATGACCCTAACAGAACTGTCAACTGCTGCGCAATTCAACATCGGCGTTAAGGTTATCGTCCTGAATAATGAGGAGCAGGGTATGGTAACCCAATGGCAAAACCTTTTCTACGAGGACCGATACGCCCACACACATCAGAAGAATCCTGACTTCATGAAGCTAGCCGATGCTATGGGAGTCCAGCACCGAAGACTTATCAAACCTGAAGACACAGTGGAATGCCTAGAATGGCTCATCAACACCGATGGCCCGGCCTTCTTAGAGGTCATGACAGATAAGAAGGTACCTGTACTCCCCATGGTACCTGCGGGATCAGGTTTACACGAGTTTTTATCATTCGATAGTGGTAAGTATATCGTCTCCCTTACATCCTATCCACGAGCGGTTAATTAATAAATAAAACAGAAAAAGATAAGAAACGAAGAGAGCTTATGCGCACTCGAACTTGCGGATTACATACCTAATTTTATGTTTTACCTGGAATTTATTGCATCGGTAGTTAGCGATTATGTTTTACTTGGGACCAATATGGAGGGAGGTAGTTAAGAAGGGTTTGAGGCCATAAAAAGTAAAGTCTAGTGACAAAAAGGAACCGAAAAGTTTTTAGTCTCGCATCTGGCAACTATGTTAGAGAAGGCCTAGCAAATAGTCGGCGTTGCCATTGGTGTATGCTTGACCTTCTTTGTATATGTATATATTCTGCATTATGAGTTCGATTTTCGAGGTTATCAAGGACAACGGTATTCTATCATACCGCTGGTGAGCATCAACCATCATGTTGACAATGACCATTTGAATACAACCAGTTGAAATTACATGTATGGACTGTCACTTATAACAATGCATTATTGGCGCTGCCTTTCGCCTCCTCGTATTAAGAAGGTGCTGCGCTTTAACTAAAAAACGGCTAGTAGCTAAGGATTATTCTGAAATATTTCCGAATAGGAGAGCTTCCCCTTTATCTCCAAGTATTTTTAAACGTTAATAACATTTTACAAAAGACATGGCTTTTCAAGAAATTCGCAAGGGTCTGAATATCCTTTTATTAGGTATCTGTTCTTAAAATTTGGTATGCTAACTACCTATCCTTAATCTTATCCGATTCTTGAATTAAAACGTAGTACCTTTAGGTGCGAGGAGGCAAAAGACACTACTATATTATTGACTCATCCAGCTTAAGTAACATTATGTTTTAGTATAAAGGAGAGTACCTATATATTAGGTTAAAAACAAGTATAGATCAGTAACTCTATGTTAAACGTTATAAGGTAATTACTTAACTATCAATAGGTAATTTGAGTTTGTAACGTAAGCTTGGTATGTCATAGGTCATAATTGCTAGCTACAGTTTGATAGATAGATATCTACCTATTTATTAAATTTCTAGGTAATGATGCATACGCATTAGTACTACCTTCGGCTATGTTTTTTTGCATTGAGTCTTGAAGAAAAATGTAGTGATCCTAATAGGCATTTCTATAGAAAAAAGGGGGAAGAAAATTAGAGTAATAACGAAATGTTTGGATAGGGCTGGAGTAGATGATTTTATTTCCGCTGTCAAACTTCCAATAGTTATGGATATTTAGACAGTTGTAGTTTATTTCTTGGGTGTGCGTAGTTACGTACCTGAGGGGTCGTGCACCTCGTCGTCGCCGGGCGTACCTAAGTACCTACGTACATACAAAGGTACAGCTGTAAGTCACTGGCAACCGAACTTAAGTAGATAAGTCCCAATTACAACAGTAGCAAGTACAGTTGGCACACTACGGTTTCTGGGCGTTTGGCTCACCTAGTCCCTGCCCAGACACGACAAGATCTCGATGATAGCTGGGAGGCTTAGAGACCTATTCCTGAAAAGGAGTCGCAAACAAATACCAGATCACCCGTCTCGCCGACATGAACTCTAGGCTATCCACCATATAGAGAACATGTATGACGCCAGTTGTAAAGGGTATCGGGGCGCAGTAGCTACGGGCACTATAGTTCCAAGGCTGGGCCTTACGAGGGTTTCTCTTTTTGTAATTTTGGGTTGCATGTGACTACATTTTCTATCACTAAAGGTCATCAGTTCGAATCCATGCGTAGCAACTTTCGTATTCTTTTTTCTTCCTTTTTTTGTGCTTTAATTTTTTTGGTCTATGCAGCCAACTTTCAACCCACAACCCCTTTTCTTCGTTCTCCCAAGCAACCAGGCAGCCTTTTGTAACATCATACCACAACAAGTAATAGAACTTACTTGCTAGAAATAGAATATATACGTGCATACATACAAATATTTCTTAAGCCCATTTACATTATATTTCTAATACTTGCATTCAGGAAGAAAAAGAGAAGAATCGTCTCCTAAAAAGCTAGCTACACAAAAGTGAAAGAAGATATATTTTTCGCCACTCTCAGTAATCTCATTCAACAATAAATTCTATATCTCGGGTTTTCATATTTCATACTTATCGTATATACTTAAAACAAATAAACGTATAGATACTTCTGAAGGGAAAAGTGAATATATGGCTTATTGTTGTATGCTGGACACCCATTATTCAAAAAATACCTGGAACTAAACAGATAAGACCTCAAGCTTATGGGACTAGGGTTAGATGACTCCTATTCACATTGTAATAAACATGCTTCTACCAACTATATATGTGAAAGCTATGTCACGCAGTTCTCGTCTACGTAGATACCCCTAAACAGCTATCTGGTGATAATTGGGAAAGGCAGACACGTATTGTACGCGTATGCCACGAGTTTCTATTTCAAAATCTCCAATGGGGTATGTAAGTCCGTGACTCACATTATGGAGTGGATAGTCAATACTAACTTTGACTCGTAGCCCCTATTGAATAATATAACCGCTGTCGGGTAATGAAGCGGTCAGCCTCACCGAACTGTTACACTTTTCATAATGCTGGACAATATAGGCATCAAGCACTTGGCTTGTCTGGATATTTCACAACTCCAGATACGACCACAAGACCCGACTAAGTGAGTCACAGCAATAAGGCGGTGATGTTAACTATTTCAGCATTTGTAATATTCGAAGTTGTTGAGTAAAGCCCCTAAACCGACATATCCCACGTTTTGCCGGGGTCAGAAACCCGCTGTCGGCTCCGAAAGAACCACTTAAACTGAGCGGAATGGCCCTCGAGCGGGAATCGCTAGCCGCAATTGGACATCTTGCAAAGCGAGAACGGCTAGCAACGTCGTATGGACCGCTCAAAACGCCCAACGTTCCTCTCGGAACTGAGAGATATTTAAGCAACGGGGGCCCGGTGCAAATGGATAGAGTTGTTCTTGGCATCTTTACGAGCCAAAAGTCGGCTTCCCGGGTCCCTACATCGTCATGTCGGAAACCTCGTCTCGCACCAGCCACAGCGACGACAAGATCGAAACGTCCGCCGCGGAACAGACCGTAGAAGATGGCCTCAACGAGAAGGCAAATACGCTAGAGAAGGATAAGGAGGAAGCTGATCCCGGCCTGTTAACCGAGCCCCCGAGTGAGAAGCCCGTCGTCGACCAGCGGCCAAACTACTCCGCGTTTACAGAATGGGAGAAAAGGGGCATCGTGCTTGGCGCTGCCATCGGGGCCTTCTTCTCGCCTCTCACGGCGCAGATTTACCTGCCCGCGCTTACCGTCCTAGCTCAGGAATTCCACGTCACGGCCAGTCAGATTAACTTGACTGTCACTACTTACATGGTACGTTGAAAACCGGAGAAAGGGGGTTGTCTAACATGACTCGTTAGAGCAAATTAATTATATCCCGGGTAGTAGTGCTAACGTATTCATGTGCAGATTTTCCAAGGAATTACTCCGATGTTCGTCGGGTCCCTAGCGGACTCCGCGGGACGCCGGCCGGCTTACTTCATATGCTTCGTCATCTATATCTGTGCTAATATTGGATGTGCCCTAGCGCCTAGCTATCCGGCCCTGCTAGTCCTCCGCATGCTGCAATCTGCCGGTTCTAGTACGACTGTAGCGCTCTGTCAAGCAGTTGTCGCTGATATCATTACCTCGGCCGAGAGGGGCCACTATGTCGCGTACACCTCTCTGCCCATTCTCCTAGCGCCAGCTATAGGACCTGTGATTGGCGGTGTATTGTCGCAGGAAGTTGGATGGCGTTTTATTTTCTGGATCCTCGCCATCTTAGCTGCGGTAGTTTTTGTTATCCATGCGTTTTTCTTGCCCGAGACCTGTCGGGAGATCGTGGGAGATGGGTCGATCCGTCCGCACCCCGCCTACCGAACGTTCTGGCAACTGTGTAAAGATGCCTTGCGGCGACGCCGTGAGCGCCGTAATCAACAGTCCAGTGGCGCTCCACTAGCCCACACACCATCACGCGCATCGACGAAACGTAGCCTCCACGTGAAGAAATTCGATGTCTGGAAATCAATCACGATTCTTCTTGAGAAGGAGATGTTCCTGCTGCTCGGGTACGGTGGTATTGTTTTCACGGGATTCTACTGCGTCGCTACCGTCATGCCCACACAACTAGCTGATAACTATGGCTTTGATGAGATCACGGTGGGACTCATGTATCTCCCTATGGTCGGTGGCAGTATAGTTGCCGCTGTCGTGAATGGGAGATTGATGAACTGGAATTACCGGCGGCATTGTAAGCTACAGGGTGTTCCATTCGAACGTAGCAAGCAGCAAGACCTATCCGAATTTCCGATTGAGCGTGCCAGGCTCGAAATCGGTATTCCAATGCTTGCCTTGTGTGTAGCATGTGTAATCGCCTGGGGTTGGGCATTCGAATATCATGCACACGTTGCCGTGCCGTGCGTCCTACTATTCTTGTTGGGTTGGGCTGTAGTCGGATTCAGTAATACGCTCAACGTACTTCTTGTTGATGTGAACGTGGGCAGTGCGGGAGCTGCTACCGCGAGTAATAACTTAACTAGATGCTTGATTGGCGCTGCAGCGACTGCGGTGATAGGACCAATGATAAACGGTGTTGGTATTGGATGGGCGTTTACGATATTGGGCTTTATATACATAGCTTTCTCGCCGATGCTATTTTATATCCTTAAGTATGGGGTAAAATGGCGAAAGGAGAAACATGAGCGTGAGCTCGCAAAGAAGCGAAGTGGCGTCAATACTGAAAAATAGACGGGTAAATAGCACGCTCCCCCGGATGGAATAGATAGGTATAGATCATGACGATTTGTAACTTAGTTAATGTCTTAGTTATATGTCAGTTTAAGGCCTCAATAGCACTTAGCTAGTAAAATCCAGTAACTAGTTAATTCTGCACTGTAATCTGATAGGTAATAAATATCTATGGTCGTTGCTTTTCGGGTCTTGTGGATCATTATATCTGAAATATCCCAATCAAATCATCAGCAGGCCTTCTCCACGCTCCCAGATATCGTGAATCCATGAGAATCCTGGTGGATATGGTGCTTCACGTGCCCATATTCTTTTCAGTTGAGCGAGAGCTAGATGGAAAGTTAACATATGTGAAAATTCGCTTATATGTTCAAAGATCCTTATTATAAATTGCCGTTGTTGATCCGTTTGGGCTTCTGCACCCACAACGAATGCTGGCCAAACTGTTCCTTTGAAGTGAGTATCATGATGATCAATCTGCCCGAGGTGGAAAAGTGTTGTCCTTATTAGGTCGCCAGAAACTTCTTGGAATTCTGGATATTTCCTGCCTACAATACGTCGGCCATAAATCTCGATAGCTCCCTTCCAGGCTTCACCCAGCGAACGTCGAACATGCATTGAGGCCGGCTGTGGAGATTTCTCGGCCCAGTCCATAGTGCAAAATTGTTGTAACTGGGTGAATAAGTGAGGAATATCATATTCCAAACCATTCAGTGAGAAGACGCTAAAAGCGCGTAAGGTTCCAAGTAAATCGGCGGGGCAGCCAGTCCAGCTGTGAGACTCAGTCCTCCCGAGGACTTCGACTAATTCAGACGACGGGAATATATCTAAGAGCTTCACTAGGTGAGGGTTAAATGTCGAACCAAAAAGCGATATTCTACTCTATTGTTAATTGCGAGTTCTTGCGGATAGACCTGACCTTGAAAATGGAGGTAACTCACATCGCAAATGTCTCTTCGAACCAAGTTTGGAGGGCCGAAGCGGTCCTCGCTTGTGAATCTAGATTTACTCCTCTTGCAGACCTTTGTAGCGAAACCAGAACCCCCAGACCCTCTAAGTGATGCTTCCAGGTCGTACCTGAATCTATCGAATCGGCCCACACTAATAAAAGTATAGAAGCTATCGAAGCGCTCAAGGCGTCGGTAGCGTCATTCAGAGAATTTCTTAGGGCACTAACACATAATGATAAATGAGTTAGGGCATCCGTGTATTGGACTGAAGATGTGACATCGTAACCCCTAGAACTAGCCACGTCCATACAATCAAGTAATGTCCCGTTAGATGCTATATGTTTTGATGGGATATTGGGAATGCATATTACTGTTTGTGCTTGATGGAGAGCAGATATAGCAAGAATACTATGAACTAGAACGGGATTACCGGGTATCATAACCAAGAATTGTCTGAAGCCGTTTGGAGAAGTTTGCTCATATAGAGTACATTCCATACAACACCGATGAACGTCTTAAAAACTGGTTAGTAATTGGAATAGGCAGGGTAAAGATATTGGCATACAATAAGAAAGGTATTGCTTAGACCTGGGACTCAAATTTTGGAAGATAGGATCTATCAAAGTCCTGGTTATAAGAGGACCTAGGGACGTAGATTGTTGTTTCTTGTCCGATAGTTCTGCTGTCTTCTTCCCAAAACTTCGACCTACCATCTTCCCCCTACTTGCTAGGCCAGTCCAAACTAATGGTCTGTTGGTGCTGTATCCAAGACATTCGCGGCCGTTCTTCTGGCATCTAAAGCATGTCGGCAAACACCCGTCGCATTTCAGCCGTTTCCTACGACATGTCCAACAAGGACTCGATGAAAAGTTGAATTGTTTATCCATTTTTACTCCTAGATGTCCCAGAGATCGTAGCATAATTTTTATCCGTACGGCTGTAATTAATTAGATGCGTAGACGAAGTTGGTGACATAGGTATTAGGGATACGAATTAAATACGAACTTACGGAAGAATAACCCTTTTAGCTTAAGAATGTCTCAGAGCTTTAAACAATTAACCAATCATATACTTTTACGGATAACTCTTTATTCTTGATTAATACATATATTTTCCCCCCTTATTTAATCGTTATACACTAGGATAATAATTCGTCTCCTTCATAATTGTGGATATAGGTGAATAGGCGATTGATATTTACAGATTTCAAGATTATCTATTTTCTTATTCATACACTGTTTCTAATTTTCCCATAGTCGTGATTTCGAGATATCTAGCTTAGGTAGACTTCAATTTCTCAAGTCATAATTCCCGTCTCTTGCTCAGCCTGCTCACTTTCGCGTCCTGCTTCCCTTTGCTGTGCTTTCTCATCTACTGTAAAATCGCTTTTGGCTTTACCAACCCTAATAAATCCCAAGACCATCAAGATGACTCCGGCTCCACATCCGACGGCAAACCAGAACGCCACCTTATAACTTTCTCCTAGCTCGTCGCTTGATCTACTGGCGACCGCAAAGTCCGCCCAGCCAAGAAAGAAACTGATACCCAGGTATACCAAACCATTGATACATGCTCCTGCTAGGCCTTGCTGATGTTTGGGGACACTGGTAGTAATGAATATACCGCTCACGTTGAAGCTAATATCAATACCGATTGTTGTGCACACCATTGCTGGGAAGACCCACCGCCAATAATTGGGATTTTCGGGGATAAGGGCAAATAGGAGAGGACATATTACGAAACCTGTCCCAGCCAGCAGGAGAAGTATAGTTCCAGGTAAACGATGGAGTGTTAATCCACCTATGAGGGCGATGATGATTCCACCGGCAGCCATAGGAGAGAACCAAAGTGCGGCGAGTAATGGTGGGACTTTGAGGACAGTCTGTATACTGGAAGAAGTTAGTATATTTGGTTTGGGACTTCTTAGATTGAAAATCGGGCAAGCACTTACTAAAAACTTGCGTAGAAGAGATATATGCCAAAGCAGCCACACGCCATGAAGAGAGCGAGGAAGAGTGGTCCGATGTACTTAATAGAGAATAAGTCAAAAGGCAGCAGAGGAGAATCGGCAACCCATCCCTCCACGTAGATAAAAGCCGCGAGGGCTATGAGCCCAAGTATAAATGTAACGATGATCTGAGGGGAGGCCCAGTGGCCTTCGACGTGGGAGGCATCAGTGATAGCGTATGTAAGTAGACTCAAGCTGCAAACGCTGGTAAGGCAACCCCACCAATCCATTGAGGACCAGTCGCCACGTTTCCACTCGTGAGGAACGCAGAAAAAAGTCATCAAGCACAGGAAAGACAGTAGTATAGATGCAATCCAAAAAAACCAACCCCAGTAAAGGAACTCGCCAGTGAGACCTGCGACGATGATACCAGAGAAGAAACCTAAGGGTGCGCAACCTCCATACATGCTGAAAATGGCATTCTTCCGTGGACCGGGACGGTAAGTGGTTCCTAATAACGTCGTACCGGCAGGTAGGAAGGCAGCTGCTCCCACCCCTTGGAGAGCTCGACTCGCTAAAACCATCGGCAAGGTACGACTGAATCCTCCAACTATCGCCCACAGAGTTAGCCATGATAGCCCTCCGAGGTAGATAGGGAATGCGCCGAACATATCGACAAGCCGGCCAAAGGGTAACAACAATGAACCGGTGACGAGGGAGAAGACGGTTATAGGCCAGGTCCTCTGGTTAGGGTCGATACCTGTGTCTTCGATGAGCACCGGGAGCAACACGCTAAATCCACTGATGAGGAACTCTGACATCATCATCGAACCGAGAACAGATACACAAAACCCTGCTTCAACCCAGCCATTAGCAAAGATTGAAGGTCTACTCCTTCCAAGCTTCTCGGTATCAACAGGATCATCATGGGAGGATGAGGATGATGCGTTCTTGTTGCTTGAAGGGAGTTCCGGAGCTGTGGCAGCTGCTGACTCTATATCGGTAGCCATTTTGATGGCTTAGCCGTCCTTAGGGGTGATATATCGCGAGAATAGGGATTGGATTTATGATGTCGAACGGCCTCTAATATAGGAAGATTATTTCGTAGCATGGGGATTAGAGCCATGATATACATGATGAAGTGTCGTATTCAAGTACGTTTACAAAAGCAGATAATGCCTGGGGAGTTTGGGACTGGGAAATTGACCGGTTGTAAGTGATGAAGTGTGACTATATTTCGCGATCACCGAAGAGGAAGCCAAGATACAAGACGTGCGTCCAAAGTTTTCCATCGATCTTGAATGGCCAACCCCATCCCGAATAAAGTATGTCACTAGCAATGGGAAAGTGCTCTAATTGCTGCGCGTATGTAGTCTTAGGACTGGGGGTCCTACCGGAGCGCTACCGGGAATTCTCTACGTAGCCGATCTATAACAGAGCCAGTGTTAGCGGAAATGATCTAGATCAGACTCTGACTTACGCTTTGCGCCCGGTAGTTGATCATGCCTGATTAGGAAGCCAAGCAACAGATCTAAAACGGCGTGATAATTGTCATGCTCAGCCGCCAGCTCCACTACAATTGAATCTAACGTTATGTGCTATCCCCACGTTTTTCTTTTATAGGAAATATAGTTGCAAGTTTAAAACAGGACTTAACGCTGCCCCATTAGGAGTAACCATAACCAAATATAGTACATGATTGGCGAATAAGTTGACTGGGAGTGACTCACCGGTATCAGCATCTTACATATAACGTCCTCAGAAGGGTGAGATATCATTGAAAAACTCATCCACAGAGCTAGAACTTACGTCCATAGTATTATCTAGGATATATAACATCCCAGTGTGTCGCCCGACGATCAAGCTGATCTCGTCTTAGAGTTTCGTTTTGCCTTCTAAAGAGTGTATCCTCGAATAGCAATAAGAGTCAAGGCGAGTGCTTCTAAAGGTGTTGGATAGACAGGCTGGTAGGATACTACTGATGCGAGATTGTCAATTATGTATCCAATGAAGGGTGATCGCCCAAAGACCATGCTTGGACGCTTCCCCCCATTGCCATATGGACTCTCGTGTAAATAGATCATTGTATAAAATAAACTAGTCGGGACCTTCTATTACTATCTGCTTCGTTTCTGGTCTCTCGCGCAGGTCGCTTTCCATTCATTTGCTCGAATTTCTCAGAGTATAATTTATTTTTGATTCGTTATTTCTGCTTCTGCGAAGTAGGTGTATTTAGTCGCGCGACTGGTTCGCACGAGATTCCACATACCTAAAATCACACTGCTCCCTTGCCTTTGACTTGTCAGTGGTGGCATATCCGGTGATTACATCATAATCTTGGCTTACAATGAATGCCTCGGCATCGCTCCGGGCATCCTTCTACGGGCCCGACGGCCCTCTCGGCCCACCTCCTCAATCGAAGCGATATACGATAGCCGGCGACGTTGAGGCTCTCCGATGGCGTAGGACTCTTGTACCGGTTAACTACGCTGATTATAGCTCATATTGCCGGCAGATAAAAGAGGAGGTCAGCCGAGAATCCATCTGCGAAGTTGAACAGACGCCAGAGCCTCCAACGATAAGAGATCAAATAGCGAGGATGTTCACAATCTGGCCGTACCGAGACGCGAATTGGGTTATTGCTATATTATTTGTGATTGGGTCAATATCGTTCGGAGTTAATGCTTTATTCAGCTTGCTCTCTGTCTTCTTCCCGTTAACTGTATTTCCTGGCGAGATAGAGTTGGCCATACCAATTACAACGCTTTTCGGTGCCCTCTTTTTCGTCTCTGGCGGCACTCTAACTTTGATAGCTGGGTGGAATGCCGATAAAGGTACCTTTGAGCCCGAATTTAAGACTGAGGATGGTAGTACCAAGACGTATAAGCCGGCTTTGCTTGGCAGCAGCGCGTGGTTATGGGTACCTACAATCGCGGATTTGAAAGCAGCCCTGCGGACCGTTCCCTTCCAGTCTTCCGTGATACAATTCTTCGGGGGTTTAATCCTTTCAGTCAGCGTCGTAGGTGGCTGGCCAGGTGTTTTATCCCCTGATGATCTTATGGGACTTCAACTCTTCCTTTTTACGCCATTAGCTATCGGAGGGACCATGTTCTTCTTCGCAAATATACGCCTCCTCGTCTGGCTGCAAGATCATTGGTACAAACCTAAGCCAGGCTCGGCTTCCTGGCAGGCGGCATTTTGGAGTTCTGTTGGCTCCATCAACTTTGCGCTTGCCGGCTTCGCCCTTTTTATGGGGGATATGAATACTTCAACAATTGCTAACATTGTTGGCTCATGGACATTTTTGATTGGTTCTATTTTCCAGTGGTATGATCTCATGGCATTCCACCCAGACGACTGGGCGACTTAAGCTAGGGAAATCCCGGTTAATTTAGGTACACAACTACCATCTCATCGTGTGAGTGAGATTACTGCAGGGAATTTCGCTCTCACTTGAAAACGTAGTGATACCTAAGTGGGTGAATATGAATTAAGATTAAGAATGAAAGGGAGGGTTGACCTACCTTAGGTACCTAAGATACCTAGGTTAGGTTAAGGAGGTAGTAAAATAAAATATTCATCTAAAATACTGTTAATTGTCAGTGACGAAAGACGTGGGGAAGCGGGGTTATGGTGGGAATTTCATCAAGGAAATGTCGTTTGTCGGGTCCTAATTGAACGGTGGCCGGCCAATTGCTCGGCGCGGTTGTCCGCGGGGTATTCTAAATCTTAGCTAAGGTGGGCAGGTACCTCACGATAATCATGGGAAAATTAAAATATTTTTGCGATCTTGTGACATGTATCTTTAGTTTGTCCTACAACTATATATTTCATTGCATCTTTTAATCCCTCGACGTTCTCTTCTTGTAAATAATATAAATAATATAAAAAATATAATCTTGATCATTATTTTGGTAGTTTATGCAAAATCAAAATTGCTAACGATAAAACTCAATTCTCACTTAATAAAGAAATATAAGTATAGTTAAGGCAAACAAACATTCATCCCTCGAAGCTCGAAGCGGGGCATCGACACTTAGACGCAGCTATTTTCCCTCTCGCTTTCTATTTCCCCGCGACTTATTTCAGAATATATACCTAGACCTACCTCTTACTAGGTACTTACCTACATAATCATAATCGCAATTCAACAATATGTCGGGCCCTGTACCTACGGTCACTGCATTGCAGGACATATACACTCAGCAGGCTCTAAATGATCAAACCGCGAGGTGGAACAAGTTGCTTGATAAGTTCCAGGCCCTCTATGGCACCCCCGCTCAATTCGTCTCGCGATCGCCTGGTCGCGTGAATATCATCGGCGAGCATATTGACTACTCTCTTTACTCAGTATTGCCCATGGGAATGACTCCCGATGTCATCCTCGCCGTATCTACCGATCTAGAGCCCTCACAAGAAGGCAGTTACAAGATCAAGATAGCTAATGTCGACAATGAGCAATTCCCAACTCGCGAGTTCGATGTATCTTACTCCGAGGTCGATATCGACGCAACGATACACGAATGGACTAATTACTTCAAGTCTGGCTTGAGGGGGGCGTTGCAATTGCTGAGGAAGAAATATGGAGACGATTTTAAGCCCAAGAGTATGCAAGTGTTAATGGACGGGACAGTGCCTGCTGGTGGTGGTCTGAGTTCCAGCGCTGCTTTTGTAAGCGCCAGCGCATTGGCTGTTATGATTGCCAATGGCGAACGCGATGTCGACAAGAAAGCTCTGACCGAGGTTGCTATTGTCAGTGAGCGGGCTGTGGGTGTAAATTCTGGAGGGTGAGTCTACCTGGTTAATTGAGTGGTTAGTATTAATGTCTTGCAGAATGGACCAGTCCGCTTCAGTATTCTCCGAACGAGGATCGGCTCTCTTGGTTTCCTTCACTCCGTCTCTTTCGGCGCGGCCAGTCTACTTTCCCAAAACGAACCCTGAACTGTGTTTTATGGTCGCACAGTCATTCGTTACTTCGAATAAGCAGGAAACCGGCCCAATTCACTACAACCTCAGGGTCGTTGAGTGCAGCATGGCAGCAGCATATCTAAATGCCAAGTTATGTCCTAAGGGAACTGAACTTCCTAAAGATGCTGGCCCACTAGGTGTATCCATACGCGGATTCCACCAAAATTACTTCAAGGATACTACGAAGTCGATGCCGGAACAACTTACCGAGTTGATTGAACTCACCAAGTCCACACTTACTCAGGAGCAAGGATACACCGTGGAAGAAGTTGCTTCGGGTATTGGTATCTCGGTTGATGATGTAAAAGCTCGCTTTATGTCCAGCTTCCCCGTACGGGGCGAATACTTCAAGCTCCGCCAGCGCGCTTTGCACGTATTTACCGAGGCTCTGCGTGTTCTCCAGTTCCTATCCCTTCTAGAAGATCCAGCACAGGCCCCCGACTCTGAGCATACAGTCGAATACAATGCTAAGCTCGGAAAATTACTGAACGAAACCCAAGACTCGTGCCGAGATGTTTATGAGTGCAGTTGTCCCGAGATAGACGAGTTGTGTAAGATTGCGCGTGAGGCCGGGAGCTACGGTAGCCGGCTGACCGGTGCTGGCTGGGGTGGATGTAGCGTTCATTTGGTGCCTGCCAACAAGATTGATGATATCAAGAAGGCGTTGATCGATAAATATTACTCTAAGCGGAACTTGAGTGAAAAGGATCTAGAGGGAGCAATTGTTGTCAGTCGGCCGATGAATGGCAGTGCAGTCTTCAAACTGAAGGAAGGGAAGATTTAATCCTGCTAGGTTAGTATATAGCGCATGCTGTTTAATAATTGCAGAGCATTCTATCATACTCATAATTCCCTACTTAAGCCTCAAGGCAACTGCATCTAGTTGCAGTATATTATTCAGGGAGAACACGGAATATAGACTTGAGTGGTTGCGTAGCTACACTATATTGAACATAACGTCAATAATTAGTCCCCAGCCTTTGTCAATAGGAGGGGGTCGTGAGGTGATTGGCTACACTGCTAGCTTTATTACCTGTTTAGGAAACAGTTCTCCTTGTATCGAAGTGAGGTACTCCACAACCTGGAATAGGATCTAATATATTATCCCAGAATTATACCAGAGTTATTTACCTAGGTAGATAATATGAGATAATATGATTTCAACTTCAGGTAATATTAGGTGCTTAACCCAGACGTTCCCCTTGGGAATGAACAGTTTCTCTTTTCATTGTGTCATGGGTTAAACTCAAAATAAGAATAGAACCATAATGATATATAGTGAGAACATATATTTCCATATCTATCTCTCTAGTCATATAATACTAGGTAAATGTGACGCGTCCCAGCGCTTGGTTTGCGTATGGTTCATTACCTGTTCCGCAATCAGATCAAGCATCCAGTTATCCATTACATTATAGTCCACTTATTCCATACCATGGATTGCCCCGCCGAAATACTCCATTAATACCATATCCCACTCTCATACATTTCATTCCTATAGTAAAAAGTAGATAGAGAAGCCTCAACGGTAGAAAAGGGTTATTGCTATCTTATTGCTCACGAGCAAATCGACGGCTCACAGTCCCATTCCAAGGGGGGTAAGATGTGTGCCACGAACCATCATCATGAGAAGTACTTGAGCTCCATACCCAACTGGACACTGGTATGGATGTCGTCCATGCCGTTGGAGAAGGGGTGCTGGCGAAAGTCGTTGCTAGAGCTGACGTAACTACCGTACTAGACGGTGTCGGGGATGTGGTTGACGAGATGGTAGATATAGACGATGATGTTGTTGTTGTTGTAGTAGACTCTGTGCTTGGATAAGCTGAAGTTGAAGTTGATACATGGTCGTCTTCAGTCACAGTGGTGGTCACAACATTGGTTGTGGGTTGAATGTCTATAATAGAGATTGTAGTAGCAACAGTCTGGGTCGCGGGACTTGCGGTAATCACTATCGTGTTGGTAACTGGTGGAGAAGTTTGGACAATTGTTCTCGTACTCGGGGTAGGAGTTACAACAATTGTCTCAATTGAGCCAGGAGTCTTAGTTGAACCTGAACCTGAATCTGAACCATTCCCATCAATCGGGACTACAGAATATGTAGCGCGAGCGACTAATGACTGTGTTGGTTGCTTTTTATGTATAATGAAAGGCAATGCTGTAGATGAATCAAGCACGGATAGGATAAAGAGAAAGGAGATCGACAGGCTTAGATGCATCTTGGACAACACCTCAAGGGGGTTTTGCTTGTACTAGTTGAGGGCCGCGAGTTTTTGCACTTTATAGCTTAGTAGAAGGGAATGATCTGCAAGATGAAAAAAGAGAATTTGAACCTACCATGGCAAGCATCGCCTTTTATTGTACATATTAATTGACAATATTCGGATGGTTGGGAAGTAGACAAGGCTGGGTAGGAGATGGGATTGTGAGGGGTTTGATAGGGAAATTCTAGGGCAGTACATTAGGTTAAGGGTCTAGTTGGAATAAGTTGGTGGCTGGAGTGTGCATCAACCCCAGACTTCCAAGTTTCTAGTGGACACCCATTATAAGTGGATACCTATCTAAGTACCTAGGTACCTGCATTAGAGCTATCGCATCGGACAATTGAATTGAGAAAGTCTTAGGAAGGACGCATCGTAATCTTTGTTTTCTCTTGACTCAACACTCTGATCTAAATCTATGCCATCTATACCAATGTACTAATTTCGTATCAACTAGGATGTCTTTCTATCTATTATCCTATAGTAAATATACTATAACGCACACCAACATGGTAGCCTCATATTCTAGGCAATCGGGAGATGATGCGCGTAGCGTACCTCGACCTCCACGACCACAAATTCATCTTACACTAAACAAAGCTCAAAGATATTCTCGACCGGTAGCCCAGAATATTTTCAACAACTAGGAGACGTTGAAAACGATCATTCTATATCATGAACATACAATCCGGAAGCGCTGGACCCAGAAATCGAAAATCAAACGAAAGAAACTCTTACTTAGCATCTGGCCAAATATGCCATCATCGCATCGCCCTGATATTGCCGTTTATAGGAAACTTCTTTCAATTGAAGAATGGGACATGACTCCGTTAATGTGGCCCTATATTAACCTCGAGGATCTATCCAGGACAGAGCCGCTTTTACTAATGCTCAATTCTCGAGGAAGGTATTCACCTAGAGACTTTACTAAACCTGATCTTGACTCGGTAATTGTGGGGTATGGCACTCCATATTACAATATGGTAGAGCTTTGGGGTTACGCCATGTCGTTTAGAGAATCTCCTTCGTTAGATACGTACGGCCAGCTCCATCTTAAAACCGACGATATTATATTCGACAAAGTCCCGAGTCAGGGGGCTGTTACCCCAGATAACGGCTTCCGAGTCTTAGCGGTTCAAGATCATCTGTATCAATTTCTTATTAGATGTTGTGAAGCAATTCTCCATGATATTCCAGTTGAAGATTTGACGCAGGCCGACCAGCCCATCCTTGGCTCACCTACGGTAGTTACGCTAAAGAGCAATTCGTCAAGACTTCGTTTCTCTGCTATCGACTCGCTTGAGGACCTGTATAAACAATCTTGCCGTGTCAAAATCAGTCGCATAGAATCTATTATCAGGCCCATGCTGTGTGCTGCCGAAGATCACCTCTTGTCTATGAGGGAGGATCCCGATTATTTCAGGATGGTTCTGAATCAAAGGGAAGAAAGTTGCTCTAGACATTTGCTTGACATCAATGGTCGGAAGCACCCTATTTTTCTCCGGAACAATGATCGCTTTCGACGAAAAAGAATTCGCGAAGTTTTCTCCGATGCCTTCCTAATATTCTACATCTTAAAAGTTACATATCAATCGTTCTATGACCTACACTCCCTCGTCAAGGAGTGGAGAGAAGATCCTTCTCAAACACCGGTTATGCCGCTACCCTTATGTAAGATGTTGTATGGACTTTAGCACAGCCTAATCTCTGTCTGCCAAAAAATCATCGACCTCTCGCAATTCTCGGAAAGTATTTATGGCTCGCCTGCGCTGAGAGAATATTTCTATTGCGAGCCCAATGACCCGAAACGCCCCGATTCCTATGAAGTTAGACGTCGGCCCAAGGTCAATGTGCCCGAAATCTGCACTGACACCATGTACTTCCTTGAAGCCATGGCCGGCCTAGAGAAACCACTCCGGTATGTATGAAAACATCCCGTGTTGTTATTTTCAAGCCCCCCTTTCTAGAAAGGTCTCGAAACTATCCTCGTAAGGTATACAGTGGCTAACGCTCAGTAGTAAGTATGATAGCCCTGCCATTTCGACCCAATCGAAAAATAACGATGAAGATTTTAGAATTGTAGTATTGCAAAGCTAACGCAAAATGTTTTCATACATTAGCAATCGGCTTCAGAGGAACTATAATTGAATTGGAGTTACTCATGCAACGTCACCCTATAGCGAAATCCTTCGTGACTAGCTGGTTAGGTGCTCAAATTTCGGTCCTTGGTGTTTTATGCGAATGTCGACACTTACTTGAGCAATACCAGCACCGGTTCTACAGCTTCACCCAATACAACAGAAAATATCCAGGTGAGATTGAGAAGTTTTACCAGAGTAAATTTGAGGTTGCGTTCAAGGTGTACGATATACCTGATTCATTCTGGTCCAATACAGCCGGAACGATGCAGGATATTCTCATAGGGGAATCAGAATATCCAATACGCGAACCTCGCAGTAGGGAGGTAGTTAAGAAACTACGCAAAACAGAAGCGACGTTCGATCAATTCTGGATCAAAGCACTCGACCAGTTGCAGAGAGCGCGTGTACTAGAGGAGTGCCCAATTTCGGTACTTTCTTACAAATTACAGAGGACTGAGCCGTGGGTAGAGCTACAAATAGAGCGGACTGAGACGAAAAAGAATAAGATGAGGAGTAACAGTACCAACCAGCTGTCTGATGAATTTATCCACCAAGAAGACTCAGAAGCTGAGGAGCTTATAAACATGGCAAGAGAGAGCCCAAATGCGGAGATGAATAGTTCCACAGCAGAGTGCGGGAGATATTCTCCATTCAAAGTTGACCGCCGAACTTTTGAGGTGTTTAGTACCTTATTATTCGATGGACCCGATCCTTCTGATGTAAGAGAGATTTCCTGGGATGACTTTGTTCATGCTATGCTGGCTATGAATTTTAGGGCGGAGAAACTGTTAGGATCAGCCTGGCTCTTCGAACCTATAAATAGCCCAGAAAATGAGGACCCCAGTATTATATTCCACGAACCGTACATGGGCGGCAAACTGGAGTATACGATGATAAAACACTATGGTCGGCGTATCACCAGGGCTTTGAAGTGGGAAAACCATATGTTCGTACGAGCTTGATAATTCGGCGGGCAAGTATCAGAGTTGAATATCGGAATTGATGGTATACAGGTTTCGCTTGTCCTGATAGGATTCTGTAAAAGTAGCAATGCGTCTTAAGCCAAGTGTCCAGCGTATTTTACACGAAGAGTATGCATTCTCTCATAGCGTCAGCGTATTACTTACAATAGCTTAGGAAATAATATCGGTAGTTTATATGAAAATCTAATGCTCTCTGACAATTTACAACACCTACAAATTCCACTATTTGTCCTGATGAAATGAACGCACTCGGTCATTTTTCTTTAGGCGTCACTCACAATGAAGACATGACCACGAACTGAGTTATAAAATAAACTTATAACCTTATAGTTATATATTACTCTGCCTTCTTATGTGTTTTATACTCATATAGGAATAACTCATCACATGTTATAGTCATGTTACAGTCGGCATAATGAGTAAGACAGCCTATCGTCGGTAAATACCTACATAGCGTACAAGAAGACCGTATTCCTATTAGTTATCCTAACCAAAAAAACGCCGTATCGAGACTAGGTAGTACAGATGCATCCATCAATCTCTCAGAGTTCACGTCTGTTTCGCTCCCGTCACGGGGCAGACACCCGAGGATCCTTCAACCTGGGGGTGGACGACAACCTTGTCCTTGTGGTGGCCAACCTTGGCTTTCGTCACTGGACACACGTCTCCGTCGGCCTTGTTAGCTGTGCTAGGGTGGTCCGGAGGTAGGACTGTTGTTACGGGTCCGACGACGGGACATACGCGGTCGTCTGCGTTGGGGTTAGCAAACTATTGTGAGAGGAGGAAGTATGGGTTTAAAAGAGTGTATTGAGGGAGCACCTACCCATCTCTTTGCTCTTCGCTTCGTTGACAACGCCTCTCAATGCGGGACAGGCCTGGGCGTCGGCCGAGCCGACAGACTGAGTGGTTGCGGAGATCTCGCCGCTAGGGACGGACGGGTGTTGGTGAAGTTTTGTGTGGTGCTCTGTCTTAGCACCGACGACAGGGCATGTCTGGCCTGGCTTAGAGAGGTCGATATCCGGGTGCGAGGGTGGTAGAGTGTGATTCGTGGTTCCAACGACTGGGCATACTTCTGCGGCGGCCATGTTTGCGATTTGAGCTGTTGGTATAAGTTCTTGAAGTTGATGACTTGTAGTTCGTGTAGATGATGTTGTTTTCGTCTGCGGAAATGGATAGAAACAAAAGTCGAGCTATAGAAGAGGGGGGAAAGAGTCTATTTAAGGTTGCGGGTCGAAACTGTCGAGATAAAGAAGGCTAAGCTCACCGAATGCTCTCGAGCTCGTCCTATATCTCGAGACGACGTCATTCTAGTCCGCTTTGGGAAAAGAGCAGGGGAGCTTGGTTAGCATGATTGGTTTTAGGGCAATGCTTATTGGCTGTTTGGCTTACGTCCCGTCCGGCTAGGTGGTACGACAGTAAGAGTGGGTCTGGGGTTTAGGGTACCGTAGGCTTAAGCCAAAGATGCACTATTGAAATTTGAGGCTCATTCTAGCATAAGAGAATATCCAGGTACATATCATAAGAATTTATTACGCAAGTGGATGTCTGCTTATTTATGTAATACAGAAATCGCGAATATACGAATTTCTTTTTAAACCCGTATGGTACTGTATGGTTATGTCGATAATACAGTATCGCACCGACTGTTTATAGTTAAACTTTACTTTTAGTTATCGAGTTACACTGCATAACTGACCACTAAATAAACATTCTAGAAACATCGTGGTGTCATATGTATACTATGTACATGCACCTATCCGATGACACAACATAAATCCTACGACGTCAGTTCCCCTAACATAGTGTATTGCATAGGTACCTAGATAGGTGGGTTATGTTGAGCCGCAAATCTTGTACAATTATGATGGAGGAGTTTCCGTTCGATTGGTTAATATCAGTCCAATAACTCATGCCCGAATATCAACCGAAATTACTCGAATCCGCCTGCATCCAGGCAGCCATTTTCTTCATGATTATATAGAGGACCGATCTAGCCTACGGTGATACATGTCTAGGTACTCTTCATCTTAGAATACCAGGTGGCTTTCACTTTAACATTGTACTACACCGCCAGTCAACATGAGAATCCAACTAAACCAAATCTCTCCCGCCTTGGCGTTATTCGGGTTCGCATCAGCTGTTCGAGGATTTCCCGAGTATGTGGGTTGTTTCGGCTCACCGACAAATCTGGAATTTAGTCGCACCTACATATTTCAATCGGTTGGTTTCTGCGGGAATTGGTGCGAATCCAATAACCAGCCCGTGATGGCTGTGACAAACAGCACCGGTTGTTTATGCGGTCAAGCTGTTCCTCCTTCTGAAAGGGCTGTGCCAGATTCATTCTGCAACAGCGCTTGTTCGGGATATGCGGGGGAAATGTGTATGAACACCAGGGATCATCCACGAAAGATACAATTAAGCTAACTCTAGAGCAGGCGGCGGTCAAGGTTACTTTTCAGTCTATTATACTACGCTGTCAGACGAGCCCGAACAAGCGCCCAACCAGGAGACCTTGACGCAAAGCATCGAGCCGGTCGAGACAGGTGAAGCACTCCCAGCAGCCTCGATTGAGAATCAGCCCGTTTCCTTGGCAGGTTCATCCAATCTATAGATTATATTGCAGTCTTTAAACGCCCGAGTAACCACTTTCCAAAGTCAACCCGTATTATATGACGAGTAAAAGTATATATCATTGAAACCTAGGGTTGGAATCTTAAAGGTCACATACAAAAGCGGTATCTTATTTATATATACACCTATTTATTTACTGTGTATTTACAGCTAGCGTATAAAGCATTTTCAAACCAGTTGTGGCCCAGGGAACCACTAGTACTCATAGCCATCGCAATCGACTAACTTGTACGTATATTAGTTCAAGATGTTCCCGAACAACCGACGAAGTTGTTGCCGCTGGCTCCAGTGTGAGTGATTTCACCTGCTAGCTTGCAGGATGTGTTAATGATAACCCGATCCGGTCCGGGAGAGCCTATTATCTATTAGCTCGCATCATATACTTAAGAAAGGCTACGACAACTAACCACCAGTATATACACTACCACTGGATAGCATCGGAAACTCGAGGTACGGCCCAGAAACCGAGAACGAGAAGCCCTCGTAGTTGTTGTATGTGTGCGGGTAGCCACCAGGTGCGCTTCCTGAGCTATAGTAGCTGCATGCCTTTTGCGCGGCCTGGTTCACTTGCGTCGCGCTATAGGACGTGGAACCACATGTCGTCGCAGCTAGTTCGGCACGCTCCTCGACAATAGGGGCGGCAGTGACAGACGCGAGAAGAGCCGCGAGGGGCAGGAAGGCAAAGCTGCCGACGAAGAACTTCATGATTCCGTTTGAGTTATTGAGATTTATAAGTAAGGAACTAAGCGGTATCTGAAGAGTTGATCGGAATGAAGGAGGTCGACTACGAGATAAAATAAAATGGATAATCATATTTCTTAAGTACCTACTCTATATATACATGGACTTTATCTCAACTCCTCTCCCGAACCCGGTACCTGACGATCCTCCTTCCTCGCAAGGCACAATGCACCGAAGAACATTCTCCCGTCCCTATAGCTTACGCAAACCACGCTTGAACGGGACACGACAGTTTCTTCTTCTGGGACATGCACCGAAGCATTCCACGGCTAGGCATGCAGATAGGTTGCAACTGAAAGCGGAAGGTAATAGATAGACGGTAGAACGTGCCGATAAGGTTGGCGGAGATTGTGCGATGGTGTGTGTGTGCGGGGCCGAGGGTCTGGTTAGATTCCAGGAGGGCTACGCGGGTTCTAGACTTTTAGATCCTAGCGTGTCTTGTGTCTCTGCTGCTATTGGTGGTAAATACTTGGACCAAGGCGGATTGGAACCAACTAAAGACGACTATGAAGACTTATATAAACTTGGCTGAACAACGATAACCCCTAATTCTAGAATAGGGTGACCTTGGAATTTATTCTGCGATAAAGGGTTTGATGTCAGGGATAACTATAGGACCCGGGTCTACCAACTAGAACTTACCCTTTCACTCAATCAACCAAATACTATTACAGTATTTACACGATGTTATCACTAAAATACAGTGGCGTGGTACTCCCGAACAGCTGCGTTTTATACGCATTTTTAGATATTTTAGAATATTGCTAAAATCTTAATATTTTTCAATATTTTCAAGCTTCATATTACCTTTCATTGGCTCGGAAATATCCTTTGGTCTTCTACGTTCACTTACTTACCTAATTAATGCGCAGCATCTGCAAGGCACGAGATTCGATAAACAGCCTTAATACCGGCCCAATAGCATTTAGTATAACTTTTGATTTGGATGTCATATTGCCAACACATCAAAGTTCTATGTGGCGGGTGTTGGATAGGTATCTATTCAGCGTTAATAATGATATAAAACTTGAATTAATTTACCTTGAATGTGACAAACGTACTCCATAACTTGGTTTAGCTAAACATCAGATAATTTCAAAAACAATGGCTTCTATCGAACCAGAAGCCCTTCGCGTCCTAAGCTTGGATGGGGGAGGAATCAAGGGTTATACCAGCCTAATCATTCTCCAGCGAATATTCCGAACACTGCAAGATATAAAACCATGCGACCCGCCCCTCAAGCCATGCCAGGTCTTTGACCTTATTGTCGGAACATCTACTGGGGGATTAATTGCTATCATGCTTGGTCGCCTGGAGATGAGTATAGAGGAAGCGATCAATCAATACGAGGTCGTCGGCCAGAAGGTATTTGGTCAACGACCCTTCTTTGGCAAATTTGCAAACGCAATAGCAGGGGCACCCTTCTACGATATCCATATTCTCCAAGAATGCGTCAAAGACGTCCTCAAAGAGAAGAATATTGCTCCGGATGAGGATTTTATTGTCAAAGATGGGATACCGTCTTGTAGAGTGTAGGTGGCAGCTCCGCGTTTATTATATGATCTTCGGCAGAGATAACTAATTTGATGTGCAGTAAAGTCTGTGTCACTTCGAAGATTACTTCTAATGTAGATGCTTTGAGGAGCTATAGGAGTGTCCATCCCACAATAGTTAACTACGACTGTACCATCTGGGAAGCCGCAAGTGCGACATCTGCTGCTCCGGTATTCTTCAAGTATGTCAAATTCCGAACTGGAGATGAGTTTTTTGATGGCGGACTTAGGAGAAACAACCCTGTTGAGGAAGCATTGAATGAGTGTCGTCAAGAGAAAGACCTAAAGGATCGTGAGCTCGGTTGCTTAATTAGCATTGGAACAGGCTTTCATAAAATCGAAGGAATTTCGTCTAGTCTTAGCCGTCTTCTAAAGGCGGCAGTAAGAATGATAACGGATTCGCAAGATACAGCAGATCGGTTCTTACGTAGCGATGAAGGATTAAAGCTTGAGAGTTCAGGCCGCTATTTTCGGTTCAATGTCCCTCAAGGGATGGAAGATTTAAGGATGGATGAGCATAAAGAGACAGTGAGAATGAGAGCTTTAACCGAAAACTACCTGCACAAGATGGAGAATGGAAGAATGGTTGCAAAATGTGCAGAAGTTCTTTCTAAATCAGACAAGCTATGTAAGTCTAGATAAGTACTCAGCTTCGGGTTATTATAAGACCAATACTCACATTTAAATTAGGTAGCAAAGCTGATTCTCCTAGAAAAATCAAGTTACATCTTGATGAAATAGGTACACATTATAGACTTTCATGCGAAGAATGCCTAAAGTCATTACGTTTCCCTATGATGGACCAGTGGCGTCGACCTAGTAGAGAATCAACTTCAGGTACCTGCAGCTGGCTATTCCAACACAAAATCTTCCAAGATTGGCTCCAGTGTAGAGATGTCCAAACCCACAGTGGACTTATCTGGATAAGTGGCAAGCCTGGATCAGGGAAATCAACTCTGATGCTAGAAGCGTACCGTCACGTCTCAAAGCTACAGGAGCCAAATAAGTATTGTACCGCCGCCTTCTTCTTCAGCGCCAAAACCGATTCAGAGCAGAGCAACTTGCTTCACAGTCCTGAAGGACTCTACCGCTCCTTGCTGCATCAGTTGCTACCCCACCATGAAGAGGGCTTGCGAAGGGTGGTGGAAGCCTACAAAGAGAAACTCACTGGCGTCAGTTCCTATAAGGGCTATGCAGTATCATGGCCTGAAGAAGAGCTCCGAAAGCTTTTTCAATCATTGTTCGATGAATCCTTCGCACCACGCACAGTAATATTTGTTGATGCTATGGACGAATGCGATAGCAACAGGGTGAGAGAGTTAGCTTTCTTCTTTCGAGGTTTAGCCAACCGTGCAAATCTCAAAGGCCGGAAGCTTGACGTCTGCTTTTCAAGTACGCGCGTTGCGGTTGTTAATCTTGGCAACTGTCCCTCGATTGTAGTTGAAGAGAATAACGAACTCGATATCTTACTTTATCTCGAGGAAAACTTTGTATGTGACGGCACAAATAACCCTCGGGATTTTATCAGTCTAAAGAATAAGATCGCAGAGATATCTTCAGGTGTTTTTCTTTGGGTTGTTCTGGTTGTGGACCTACTTTTAGAAGAACTGGATAAAGGAAGAAATATCAAATATCTAGAAGATGAACGGTTGCCAGAGGTACCCCGCCGTCTGCAAGATCTTTTCCGAGATATCTTGAGTCGAATTAAAGAAGAGGATAGAGAAATCTCCCTACACTTCTTTCAATGGGCCATCCTTGCCGGCGAACTCCGCCTAAAAGAATGGCGCCATATTTTCCCATTTATCGGTTGTCATAAGCCCTTGTCTTTTGCGAAAGCTACGCAGTCCAAGCTATATTCGAAGACGGATGAGCAACTAGAGAAACAAATTCGACACGTCTCTATGGGCCTATTTGAAGTCGTAGGGAAAACAGGTCAAGCATCTTCTGAAGGTACAGATATTGATCACGATTCCATCATTGGTGATGCCGGTTCCTTGAATTCAGACATCGGGGACACGCGTGTTGTAGATGCTATACACTTATCTGTCCGAGAGTTTTTTGTTCGCGAGGGCGGCTTCCAGATTCTCAGCCCAGGACTAGGATTCAATGCTATCGGCAAGGGATATATCAGCATCATGGACACCTGTCTTGACTATATTGGAATTCAAGAGTTCGATTGCCTTGAGAGAGCCCGGCAAGGAACTACATCGTCATTATCATCATCATCAGACTCTCTCGGGGGGGTATGCGGTAGGTTATCCAGCGCCGGTAGTTACAGTTCAGCTGGGACAGAACGCTTCCATAAACGCCGTTCGCTACCATCAACTATTATTAATTCATCCCCTGTAAAAGATGGCGATCTTAGCTCCGAGTTTGCCCTACAGACCGAGAGCAGTTCAGACAACTCAAACATGTCAAAGTTTTCAGACGTCCGGCTGCCAAATTCGACGGCGAATCGGATGAGTCGCTGCATCCGCTTGAAATTAAAGTCCAATACATTACGGGGAAGCTCACCACCCAGAGATCCCGTACTATCTGTCGATCCGACGTTCCTCTCGTATATCTTGGCGACTTTTACTACCTACGCCCGAGCGGCTGAGAAAGAAGGAGCGAATGCAGCTAGAATTATCCTCCGCCTCCGGGAGGGGAGGATGTGGAAGCGTTGGGTATGTCTCGCTGAAAACATACCACATAATACTAACTTGACAACCTGGGCGGAAGTGGAGGAGTTGACATCATGGGTACTATATCTTTTGAGAAATGAGGAAGATAGACGCATCGCTGCAGCGATTGCAAGGGACCCAACCATGGCATTAGAATTAATCGAGGAGAAACCAGCTCTAAATTACTGCCTTGACCGTGGTCGCAGTTTTTTCGGGCAGATTGAAGATGACGATTCTCGCCTCCTTGAGGATGATCTTACTCTTTCCCCTGAGGACTCTTTCGATGATGTCTTCTCGCCTGTTGATTTTACGAGTTTACGGGTTCAAATACTAAACAACTCATGCAGTGTCTCGAAGGGCCATTATATACCTCAGCGTCGGTTATACCGTATAATGACCCGGCATACCGTTGAAAGAATACTTCGGACTGTCGGGCATGACACCGGTGATGCGCAGATGGTTTACGACTGGTTTTATGCCGTTCTTGTAATTTTGGTAATAATTGAGAAACCCCAATCTATAACAGACTTTGTGCAGCAAGGCGTTAAAGATAGGTGTCTTCCGCTTATTTCTTTTCAAAAGTCGCTTTTCGCTTCAATTCAGGGAGAAAGGGTTATTATCCGTCCCAACGGGTGGTGTAAGGATGATTTCTCCCGTTTTTATCAGCAGCAATGGATCTTTCTCGTGCCTTTCTTCGCGCGACCAGCAGGGGAGATTTATCACTATAAATTTGACAACACGAGAATAATCTTACCCATACTTGACCGAGGAGTTTGTCAGTCATATCACCGAAGTATCTCAAAGGTCATGTTGGATCCTTTATCATGCAATTCTAGCGACTTCCCAGTAAGACTGTCACACCCGTCACATGTACAACTAATTTACAAGTTTTTAGCTATGCAATGGATCGAATTGGTATATAATGCACAGATCATGGCGCTGGAAGTCATTCTTATGCAGAGCATATGCATGGAATCTTTTAAATATACAAAGCCAACGGAATGCTAATATTCTGCCATTACTGTTTACGGTTGAAACCCCGAAGGCCTACTATCTCTTCTTTCCATGGCCATCAGGATGCTTATACGATCTATTCCATACTAATTTACTTTCTAACTTCAACACACCGGTGTGGATAGCGGCGCAATGCTGGGGAATATCCGATTCTCTGGCGGTACTCCACCAGAACAATAGGAGACAGCGGCGCGGGTCGAAATGGACATCCGGTCCACGGCCAATATTTCTGCGGCGCGGGCATATCATGCCTTCTAACGTATTATGGTTTCGTAGGACTAGAGACAGTTCCTATATGGATACATTAGTTCTGTCAAACTTTTCTTTCAGCCATCATTTCAAGACAGCGAATTACGTGGCTCCCGAACTAAGAAAGAGGACTGAAAGACGACGATATAAGGGTGGGGAAAGAGCGGATATTTGGGGGCTCGCTTGCATTTTTATCGAAATCTTACGATGGTATTTGGAACCCTTAGGCTGGGATCCAGTTACGACAAAACTGTATTCAGACGAAGATGAGATAAGCCCATCCAGCCATAGTCGTCCGGACCCGATACGGGCTATTCATCAACATAAGAATCGTACCACTTATACTGACGAATTCATCGAGTATATTGGGACTAAAATGCTAACCAGAGACCCGAAAGAGCGAGCAACGGCATTAGAAGTGTCTAATAAAATGAAGGAGCTTCACGAGAAACTTCAAAGTGATCATAGTGACGTTGGAAGGACTACAACTTAGAACGATACATATAGAAAAAGCAACAGGCAATATGGGGTGAATTAAATAATAGCGTTGCTAAACAAGCAGTGTTAATGAGAGAAAGCGGTAATTCTCTTGGGTGAGGCTAATACTTTCACCTCTCGATCGCTTTGCTCGCACTTATCATTTTGAGAACGATATCTAGTCTGCGGGTTATATCAGAAGCTGTTTTGGAATGCCTGTAGAGGTTGCTTGTATGACCTACAGTCTAGGTAGCGCAAAATATAGAAAGGAAGACGGAGGCATCCGATGTGTTTTGTAGCTTTAGATGATTATATTTCTATTTATTGTTCCTTCGGCGACAACTATTAGGATTTTACTTATTTCTACGTCCTTTCAGCTAGTATAATTTCTAAACTTGACAACCAATATGTTAGGATTAACGAAGCCAACATTTACAAGACACGCTCTCTTAAAATCAACTGTAAACTAGAGGAGCCTTTCACTTAAATAAGACTCAAATATGTTATTCAAACACAGTACTACTTAATTGTGCCACCAGAGTGATCAACCATCCACTGGTGGAGGGGATCTTTCTGTTTTGGCCTAACGTTCTCCTTGAGGCTCGACCACGATAAATTCCTTACCAACCCCTTGCCCTTTTCTGTTAGCCTTAGCCTTGGCCGCCAGTCTCCAGTGTTGGCTTTCCTGTGCAGAAAACCTGGTTGTTCCTTTTCGGTACTACTAGTACTTGCCCTTGTCTCTTTACCAGCGTCCAGCGATGGAACGCGACCGCGGAGAAGGTCGAGGCGTTCTCCTATATTCTCCTTGACATCCTTGGGACTTCTAGGATGGCTAGGGAGTTTAATCTTATCCCGTCTCCATTGCTGTATATGTGCTACTCTCTCAGCAATTTGGTCGGTTTTGTGCTTTTTTGATCGCGCAGATTTGGAGAGGGCATGGGTCACTTTGGCCTGCTTGGATTCTTGCTCTCTGTTGGTATGAGCCCCGACCCTCGAGAGCTTTTGGGTTCCCTCCATAGGGTGATATAGGTAGCGTCGCCTATCGAAAACTTTCCTTTGAGAAGCGCTAAAAGTCCTTGGGAAAAGAAATATCGTCATCTGAATATTAGATTGATATGGTTAATGATGGAAGTAAGGAGGTAGTTTCGAGAATATGAGATAAATATATATCAATACCTGACGAAATGTTTGCTGGATTATTCGCTAAGATTATCATATCATTAGGTGTGTTACATATCAATATTCAGTAGGGAGCTTTAGATCTTGTCTGTTTGTACAGTTCACCCAATCAGGGGAAGGACTAATAATTATCGCTACCCCGTGAACTTCTTCTAAATGCTTCTAAGGTATAGCATTAAAGTCCCTAGAAGTTAATCATAATTAATCGCGGTGAATCTATACGCTGTTAAAATGTGCTAGATGTTGGAATTCATCGTTCATGATCACACTTTAGGATGATATTGGCCTACTATCGGCAGTATGATTGTTCTCCTTGACGGTCTATAGAGTCACTACGAGACTTGGACAGCACACGAAAATCCTAGGAAGTACGACTCTGACGCACCTATAGTGACTCATTCTTTACCAAGATCAACTTAGTTGGCATCCTCGTCCAAGCCATCAGAGTAATACTCGAAACTTTGAGGAATTTTTGGACCTGGACCATTACCAGCATCCGGATCTACTTCGATAACCCCTCTACCCTGAGCCTTTTTCACGTTGGTATTTTCTGTATGCCGAACCCGAGTGCCACCTAACAGCTTCGTTATGCGCTGCGCCCATTCCCAAGGTCGCACTTTGCCCCCTGGCAGTCCATTGAAGTACTCCCATCCCATAACACCTCCAAATTTAGAGAACTGATGACGCAGGACTGCCAGCGTCGGTCCTAAAACTTCGAAAGGTACCCAGCCGGGTCCGTTATCTGGCGTCGTCACAAGACCAACGACAACTTTTTCCGGCGGCCAGCCCCTTGCGATGCACATTTCATACATCACGGGAGTGCTAGCGTCGCCCCATCCGCAATAGAACTGAGCGTTATACCAAGCAATTTGCTTGCCGCGCATAACTTCCAGGGCCTCATAGTCGAAGCCGCTAAGATTACGTCTTGGATCAAGGAGAGCTGCTGCGACCGGCGCAAGAGTGATGATGAAGTCAGGACCGAAGTCCGCTCTGAGTCTATCGATAAGGCGCACGATGCCTCCTAGCGACATTTGCTCTTCAACATCTAAGTCAAGACCGTTGAGATCTCTTTCTCGGATAAGATCGTAGAGAGGACCATAGTACTTCTCAAAGGTCTTCTGATCTTGGTCTAGTCGACTATAAGAACCCTTAGCCGCTCCGCCTAACATACCAAGAACCTTGATATCGCTAGCTTGAGCAATGCGCATCTCTGCCCACATGGTAATGAATCGCGGGTCTGAGGGGGGGTGGTCATTGAGTGTTAAGCCATTTGGATCTTCGTTGATGTGAATCGCGGCCACGATTAGGTGTGTAATCGATATGTCAGGTTTTGTGATTAAGGGCAATATTGAGATATGGTTACCGTTGGAGTCGTGGGTAGTCTGGTAGTACACAACAAGGCGAGGAGTTATCCCCGTCGGCGACGATGCCATGATGCTTTAGTCAAAGGCTCGAAAGAAAGACAGGATAGACTCTAATATGGAGTCAAATTTTGAAAATTAAAAAGTAAGAGTAAGTACCTAGGTACCATACATGAGGTATATAGTAGTAGCGCCGACTTAATATTTTCACCCTCATCGGCTTGGTGAATTAGGCTGTAGTGGATGAGGAAAGACCTGAGATAGTCAATAATTAAAAATTGGGGCTGACTGTCAAAATAAGTTTAGTAGCCTTGTCGTGGCTGGATGCTAATTGGTTCTAAGTCCTATAATTCTTAAAGTCGCTTTCACTAAATGCGCCTTTCATTGTCTCGACACTTATCACTATCGCGCATAGGTTTAAGCAGTAATACATAGCTTGGAAATTCAATAACAAGTATTAGATTGATAAAATATTAGATTGATATATAGTTTAGTCGCGAACTATAAATCTAAAAAGAAAGAGCCAATAAACAAAAGCTCAATTCAACTCTATAAATTTGACCAACTTCTAAATCTAAACATTATACCACCCGGTTTGAAGCGGCGATAACCGAGATAGGAAGAGCACGCTTTTATCTAGAATGAGCGAAAAATAACGTCATTAAAGGTATGTATCGGCATACTAACTTCAGTATATCCCCGCGAATTTAATACGTTAGGTAAGATAGGTAGCAGCCGTATCAAATCTGTAGCTTAAACGACCTGATTAAAGTGCAATCACGCTATTTGAATATGGGGATACGCTAAAAGTGCCGGATACCGTTCGGGAGTTTATAGTGGTTCGCACTGGTCCAATATCGGAAGTCTAGACCAAGATAGAGGATGCATATAAGCAGACATGGGAAGAACCCCACTGAAGAACGGTGTGCCAGGGTATGCCAGGGTGTGCATGGTATGGGTAATCTTACCCTGTAAATAGAATGGAGCACGAAACTTTTCAGCTTTTAAACAAACGAGGCGGGTCTTTTGATTTCTTCGTTTGTTGATCAAATTCTCCTCTGGCGGTGCGCGCCATTTCAGGGGCCCATTTTCATATATCCTTCCTTCATGATTGACTTGTTATTGGGTACCACCTCGAATATCTGAATATCAACTTCCCTAATTCTCTAATTTAATCCACTGTTCCATGCGTACGAAAATAGATCCAAAGTTTGAAAGGTTTAAAACCCTTACCCTCATCTCATTGACGTCATGAAGTTTGCCAAAGAGCTTGAGCAGGACCACGTGCCAGGTAAGTTGTGAAATAAATATGATTAGGTAGTCATAAGAAAGAGGGAGCAGATAGATATGAATGCTAACATAGGAACTAGAATGGAGAGTCAAATATCTAAACTACAAGGCCGGCAAGAAATATATCAAAACTGTCTCGAGAGCAATTAACAAGGCATATGGAACGCCATTAGGTCAAGGAAGAAAGGGGGACCTTCCACCTCATGAGGCGACCCCTCGTCCTGGTCAATTCTCTCGTCAGCAGAATGGAGGCCCCGAAGCAGGAATCGTAGATGAAATTGAATCTCTACGAGCAAGCCCCGCACCCATAGGACGTGCAACTCGGGGAACTCATCACGCATTAGGAGCTCAATCGACACCTATTCCCGCGCGGACAGAACGTCAATCACTAACGACATCGCCGGGAAATGAGGGTCGATATGGTAGCTTTGTGCCTACACCCCCTTCAACTATGGAAAGTTGGAATATGTTCGAGTTGCCAGGCCCTGCGATGGGCGACCCTGCGATCTCAAACGAACAACCTCCATCTCGGCCGACAAACACGCTTCAGAAGACCATCAGCCGGCAGTCCGTAAAGCGCAGTACATCTATGAACTCGGCAACTCCAGGAGGCACTTCACAACTAGCTTCCTATCTTCGCCGGGGTTCTATGGCTCAGCAAGACGCGTCGCCTGGCAGACTTCGGCGTATATTCTCGACCGGCCCGCACTTGACCCAGCGTCTTAACAGAACTGAGAGCGCAAAGTTCGGGTATGGCTTGGAAGCGATCGAAACGGTTAGGCAGCGTGAAAAAGACTTTTTTGACTTCCTAGATAGCGAACTCGACAAAGTAGAGACGTTCTATCGCCAGAAGGAAGAGCAGGCCGGACAACGCTTGGCTGTTCTCCGGGACCAATTGCACGAGATGCGGAATCGACGTACACAAGAAATAGCAGAGCTGAAACAACGTAAAGAAAGAGGCGAGGATGGTAGTAGTCATGATAATAAGGGGGTCTCATCCGGTACCAATAATTCTCAAAGTTGGGTTGATCCGATTAAGTCCCGAATATTCAAGCCTGGCGCGAATTCAAAGGCATTTTCAAAGTTGCACTTCACTCCAGTGCTTGGCGCAATGAGTGCAGACTCGCAAAGGGACTATATGAAGAGACCATCTAGCCACGAAGTGTCATACAGAACGGCAAAGCGAAAGTTAAAGTTGGCTTTGCAAGAGTTCTACAGAGGTCTAGAACTTCTCCAGTCTTATGCCCAACTCAATCGGACTGCTTTCCGAAAACTCAATAAGAAGTATGACAAGGCTGTTAATGCTCGGCCGCCTTATAAGTATATGAACGAGAAAGTCAACAAGTCATGGTTCGTGAATAGTACTACGGTGGAAGAATATATTCATTCGGTCGAAGACTTGTACGCGAGATACTTCGAAAAGGGCAATCGCAAGATTGCCTCAGGGAAGCTCCATCGCTTAAACCGGCGGCCGGGGGATGAATCCGCGATCGCGTTTCGGAATGGACTCTTCATCGGTACCGGGGCAGTATTTACCCTTCAGGGTCTCGTATACGGTGCCCAGCTCTTATTCGATCCAGATCCCGTGGTACAAGAACGAACTAGCTACCTTATGCAGATATACGGTGGCTATTTTCTAATGCTCGTTCTAATGTTCTTATTCTGCATTGACTGCTACATGTGGACAATTAACAAGATCAATTATCCTTTCATTTTCGAGTTCGACACGAGAAACAGCCTGGATTGGAGACAACTGTCTAGCTTCCCTAGCTTTTTCCTCTTGCTTTTTGGTATATTTTTCTGGATCAATTTCACCAGGTATGGGTCAGAAGAGTTATATTTATACTACCCAATAATTTTAATAGCCATTACGCTCGCTATCCTCGTACTTCCAGCACCGATTTTATGGCACAAGAGTCGCCAATGGCTCATGTATTCTCATGTAAGTACCAAATCCCCATCAGCTCAACTTACGTTAACATTTCTAGTATCGATTATTCTTCGCCGGATTATATCCTGTCGAATTCCGCGACTTTTTCCTCGGTGACATGTATTGCTCCCTTACCTATGCTACTTCGGTAAGTCATGATGGCCAGCGACCCATGACCTGCCATAAGAACTAATTGGGAAACCAGAATATCGAACTCTTCTTTTGCCTCTATGCACATTCTTGGAATAACCCCGTCCAATGTAATTCAAATAATTCTCGCTTGCTAGGATTCTTTTCGGCATTGCCCCCAGTCTGGCGTGCGCTGCAGTGTATTCGTCGTTACCGCGATACTAAGAACGTATTCCCGCATCTGGTCAATGGTGGCAAGTATGGCATGACAATCATGTCGTCTGTGACCCTATCGTTGTACCGCATGAGAGCCACGGATTCGAATCTTGGCCTCTTTGTCACCTTTTCCATTGTGAACAGCATATATACCTGTAGGTCTTCGAACAGCGCCGGTTCATTTTTTCGGAGTTGTAGAAAAAGCAAATCACTTTCTAACACGTATTTCTAGCAATATGGGACTTATTTATGGATTTCTCCTTTTTCCAGCCCGACACGCGACACCGGTTCCTTCGTGACATCCTAGGGCTCAAACGTCGGTGGTTGTATTATGGGATCATGGTGCTTGATCCAATACTACGTTTTAGTTGGATCTTCTACGCCATTTTCACCCACAACAAGCAACACAGTACCATCGTCTCATTTCTCGTTGCCTTGGCCGAAGTCACACGTCGCGGCATGTGGGCCTTGTTCCGCGTTGAGAATGAACATTGTGGCAACGTTGCTCAGTACAAGGCCAGCCGCGACGTGCCCCTACCCTACCCCTTGGTGCCTCATGAACCCCTCGTTGAACGTCCCAGTAGCGAGGAAGAAGACCAAAATCATATCGTCAGAACGGCAACGCAGTTAAAGCAAGCTCCTGTACTGCCTATCGAGGGAGCTACGGCTAGTGCGATTGACGTAAGCACAGTAGGTGCCTCAGCGCTTGGCCGCGAACAGACTAGAACGCAGATACAAGCCCCAGCACAGGAGCAGGCTGGGGGAAGCGGAATGCGGTGGCGCAGACGGCCCGAGATACTGCGTGCGTGGTCGATTCGTGGTATTATGGCCAACGCGCATAAACAGGACTTCCAGAAGCGACGGAGACCACTGGAGTCTACATCTTCGCAAGATGTTAGTGAATTAGGAGTAGAAGAGAGGGGATTGCAGAGTGAGGAGGAAGACGATGATGATGATGACGACGACACAGGAAGTATGCTTGATGAGCGTATGGAGGCCCGCCGGGCGGAGGGCTTGACTAAGCCCGAGATGAGTGACGAGAGCGTATAAGGTTGTTGTTTAGGCCGTATTTAAGCGTGAGATTCTTTGTCTAGCGTTATTTTGGGTTAGAAGGGAAGCGAGGTATAAATGTTGTATGAAATGACTGGTTAGATAAAATAGGAGGTTGGATCTAGCTCGAAAGGTCGCATTATTCGCTTTGAGGCGGTCATGTCGATCGTAGACTTACATTACCGCATAACTAAAGGAAGCGTCATGTTCATATCATAATAATTATTCATATATTTACCTACCTAAGTTAGCACATTGATTTCGGGTTAAACTGAGGTTGGTTTATTGGAGAGGTCGTGGCTTGAAGTGCTAATCGGTAATAATGGAGAGGGGACCCCCCACCCTTCGAACATGATACCCTCAGCATATACGATATATACCATAACAGCAACTAAAATCATCACATACGACCATAGGATCTGGAAAATTCGGGATCCCGTCCGCTCTCCCCTAGACAAACCCGATACCGCTGGACCAGTAGTTGGGTCGGTGACGACCAGCGAATCCCCAGTGTTGTATGTTTTTTCTCTCTTTTTTTTCTCGTTAGGAATAGCTGCTGTTGTTACTTATGTACTACCCCTTTGACGTTCGTTATAGGTCCTTAGGGGTACTTTTCATCTGGATCTGATTAATTGAGTCTATTACGCTATTCTTAACTTAGGATAATATTTTTGGGGGGTTTTCGATGTCTTGTTGGTTGGTATAAGAGGTATGTGGAATGTGTATCTATCTCTTTCGTAGCTAAGGACATACATGTTATGGAATGGTAAGCAAGTGCTACATATATTAAGTAATTTCAGTCACCCGATCATAAGGTGCCCTTTAGCGCAATGGTAAAATCTGTCAGTCGAGATCCTCGTATGCTTGGATAAATTCAGCTGAGCTCGTCGCAGATAATGATCCAAGCGCCTGTGGTAACACCACCCGCGAAGTTTCCGGTTCGATTCAGCTTGCGAGCGTTACGACCAGGTAATTCTCCAAAGACAGGCCATCCAATGAGATAGGACCAAGTCGGAAAGGAGTAAAACAACCAGCCGTCGCCGCAGCTGTCGAAACCCTTGAATGGAAAAAGGGGGTGTGCCTATAGACATAGACATTTTCGTAATGACAATTTAGACCATTACGGAACAGACTTTTTTGACCACGTTACTATCTATGATTTTAGAAAGCGTCTTTATCATATCTTCCCTACTTCTCTTTTTTTTTTTCAACCCAAGACTTAAATATACCGTAAATATAGATAATATCTAAATTCAAATCAATGTTATAGTTTTTCTGCTTCACTTCCGCTAAATCTTCATCTAACACTTTAAATCCTAAAGTAGCTTCTTAACCCGCCCAAACCTCACTAACAACTCATCAGCCGGTCTATAAGTCAAACTTGGATTTGCCAACTTAACGCCCCTGCCAACGCGCTCCTCCCCAGAAGACAGCAACTCTCCACTCCGCCGCTCGATACCGAGGAAGCGCCATCGCGGGACCAGCTCGACGAGGAAGGCTTTAACCTCGATGAGGGCGAAGTTACGGCCGGGACAGGTCCGTGGGCCCTGAAGGAAGGCCTCGAACGCGAATGGCGTGGCCGCATCGCCCGTCAGCCGGTCCCAACGGTCTGGGTCAAATCCAGTGGCGTCCGGACCCCAGACCAGCGGGTGTTGGTGTATAAGCGGGATATTGAAGTCGACCTGTGTGCCTTTGGGTATAAATACGCCCTCTATTACGAGGTCCCGAGTGGCTTCACGTTGTACCATATATGCTTTAAAGTTTAGTTAGTTTAGCTGGGAGGTTTTATGTCGTTCTCAAGAAAATAAAGACATTTTCGGGAAAAAAAGGGGTAAGGAGAAGACCCACATGGAGGATAGACACGAAGCACCTCACGAATGAAATTGTGCAGATATGGTAGAGCAGAAATTGAGTCATAATCTGGCTCTTGGTCGGTTTCTAGTAGGGAGTCTATCTCCGATCGTAGCCTATCTTGTATGGTCGGGTTTGTTGCAAGAACGTAAAGAGACCATGATAAAGTGGTCGCCGTACTCTCATGACCTGATTAAGGGGTCGCAAGTTAGTGCTATGAAGCTAAGAGTCCTAATACGGCTAGGTAGGTGTAAGACGAACCTGCAGATGTGAAATTCAGAAGCTTGGAACAGGCAATCTTGTCAGTGTTAGACTACTAGAATGACGGGGAATGGACTCTTACGTGGCCAATTATATCATTTATAGACCAAATATCCTTCCCTGTCTCCTGTCGGCGTAATTCAGCTTCTTCCAACATATATGTAAGAAGATCCCTAGACTCTCCCTTTTCTCTTTCGAAAGTCCCGTTTGTTAGGTCCGCCGCGCGTTGCTGAATGATATCCTGCAGCATCTTTCTCAAGTCGGTAGTCGTTTGGATGAATCTGCGGTTCGCTTCTAAAGGAATACTACCTCGGACTGGTAGGAAAGCATTAATGACCCAGATAAGTTGGCCCAGAAACCCTTGGTGAAGCACTCGGTCATAAAGTTCCTGGAATCCTAGCGGGTACATTGACGATATAGTATCTAGTTCGATTCCTAGCACCGTTACACCTATAGTATCCATAGTTGACTTGGAGAAGGTCTCAATTGCTAAGAGGATATTAGTTTTACAATAACGTAGGTCATAATAGTGGCATTCGATCATTATCATACCTTCCAAAGTAGCATATGGTTTTTCGCCGAGCAATTGTTTAAAAACGCTCGAAATGGCCTTAGCCTTTGTTTGAAAGACGGGTAATAGTTTTCTCATACTCGGGACTGAAAAGGGGCCTGCCAACAATCTTCGTTCGCGCTTATGGGCCTCCCCTTCCGAGAATAATAGGCCTACACCCGTGATCTCTCCAACCAATCGCGCAAAGAAAGGGGGTTTGACGAAGTCATAAACATGTGTCTGTAGAACAGCCTTGTGTGCGGCCAGACTGTTTACCAGTAGGACTTCCTTGCCAGCAAACGAGATATATCTGATAAATGGCGTGTCTGGCCATTTGCGCATCCATTGTAGCTGAACGCTAGCGGGGCTATCGGCTCCGAACTTTTTGATTTCTTGCCCTAAGACGAGATTATGATCCTGGTTCCAAGGTTAGAATGAAGCTATGTTGAGCGAGATGGGTTTGCTTCATATAATACCTTTGGCCCTGGTAAGTGTCTAAGTGGCGAGAAGAAGTTTGGGTATAATACAATACGATAGAGTTTTAGGATGGCGTATTGTATGAGAAACACAGCAACGAACTTCTTAAACATCCATAGGCTATCAAATTCCCTGATAGGCCGGAGCGCAACCAGCTCTAGGGCTGTTAGTCCAGAACAAATAAGAGCATCCATTTAGATGTTAGAGTAAAATAGATAGAAGAGTCAGTAGAAATTATTTTCATAATAGGATGAGAGGTTCAGTATATAGAATCCTAACGTGGTAAGGCTATGGGGTATCACTACCTGGTTAGCCTGTAATAATATACAAGTCTAGTTGGTATTCCCGACAAGGGAGTCTAGGCTACGTTACCTGAGTCTATCATGCTATAAATATAATGCAGCCATTTCAAGACCGGGTTCCATAGAGTTATCTATGGTAAAAGACTGCGAGATTTAAAGGTTGACCTATCTCGTGAAAGCTGACTTCATATAAGTGGACAGCGCTCGCCAAATACCGTAAACACCTCTTCCCACCCTGAATGATATTCCTATCTCGGGCAGAACAGAGAAGGCGAGTTTAAACGCTGTCATGGTTCATCATGAGATACATCACTTAGAGTTAAAATCTTACCCATGATGGCGTCAGCTAGAACTCGGTGTAAAGTCGTAATCGACTAGAAGTAATATTTCTCGCGTGTATCTAACGATTTATTTATAAAGAGTTCGCATGTGTCATTTTCTGATGAGAATATCGACTGAACGGATGTTAGTCAAAGATAATTTAGCTGAATCTTTTTAAAACTTATGAGTTAGAAAATTCGAACCGCTCTAGCAAAGACTGAATTGCGACAAGAGACAAGATAAGAAACTTTAATTAATGTTAATAAGCGCATTTTGACTATGCTAATTACCTATTTATAGTCAAAGCAAGGGTACTTGTATATGGTTATAGTTGTACATACCCAGGTTTAACTTTCCCGGACTTGAATGTCTTGACTTGAAGCTTCAACGTAACTGCGTGTTGCGCTGCATGTTTTAGGCTGGAGTACCTAAGGCGGGGCTAGTGCATGTATCTATGTACTTCCCGTCCTAACATCCCCTAATGGGGTCCGGGGAGAAGGCCTAGCGTGTCTGTGTAAGTGGCACTTGAGGCTCCAAGCTAGGTCATCTGGAATTAGCAGGTGATGCAATGTCTTATCGTCGCAATCTCTTAGCGCGTTTGCGATGTCGGGTTACCTGGTAGCTGCGGTCGTGTTGACTTCATCATTCCAACCTCCTATCTCCCTCATTTCAAACCCGACTTACCGCTCTTTTACCCGACATCCCAAGTGAAAACCCCGTCTTCTACTCTACTCTCCCACTTAGGCAACTACGAATTAGAACCGATTTCAAAGTTAAAACATGACGCGACACACAACCGATTACCTGCGCCAGCGCTCCTCTAACTTGTCTCTCCGAAACGAGGCGGCAACAAATGCTTTAAGCACATCTCGGCTGTCGAGCTTCGCCAATCCTTCCGAATTCGAAAATGAGTCAACTATATCTGATGCTGTAAAGGCATTTATCGTCGGTGACCTAGCTCGCAGCGGGTCAGTGTCCCTTTGCGATTCTTGTTTTCGAGATATACCCAAAGAAAAGCGAACCGGTACGAATATCATAATCGAAAGTGATACACAGCAATGTTCTGTGTGTAACGTCCTAGCATCAAAACCCGAGGCCTTCACCGAACCCTTCTGCAAGTTTCTTCAGGAGAATCCTACCGTATTCCATTCCGTCGGTTACTTCAAAGAAAAATTGAATGCCCTTGACTATAAGGAGGTTGGTATTCCAAGTCGATTATAATTTAGAGATAGTTAAACTAAGCATTGTTACAAGCTTCCTGCACGGGATGACTGGTCTGGGAAGCTCAAGGCTGGTGGCAAGTATTATGTGACTCGAAATGGCACTTCCCTTATTGGATTCACGGTTGGAAAGGCATACAAGCCCGGCAATGGTGTAGCCATCATTGCAGGTCACATCGACGCTTTAACCGCAAAACTAAAGCCCGTTAGCAACAAGCCGACCAAAGCTGGGTACATCCAACTAGGAGTCGCTCCGTACGCCGGTGGTCTGAATGAAACCTGGTGGGATCGGGATCTTAGTATCGGTGGTCGAGTTATCGTACGGGACGAGTCTGGCAAAACCTCGAGCCGACTCGTTCAACTTGATTGGCCTAGTAAGCATGCTGTAAGAAAATGTTCGATTCTTAACGCTAATTAGACATAGTTGCTCGTATACCAACGCTGGCTCCCCATTTTGGTGTGGGTATGCTGGGTCAACAGAACAAGGAGACGGAGGCAGTTCCAATTATTGGACTTGACAATTCTGATATCTCGTCCTCAAACGCTAAACCAGTTGAGCCTTTAGGTCCGGCTGGATCGTTTGTTGCTACCCAGCCACCGAGACTCGTACAGCTAATTTCGCAAAAGTTAGGCATTAAAGACCACACTCAAATTGTGAATTGGGAGTTGGAGCTCTTCGATCTCCAACCCGCAACTGTGGGTGGGTTAGATAAAGAGTTCATTTTTGCTGGTCGCATTGATGATAAGTTATGTTCTTGGGCGGCGTTCCAAGGTCTGCTGGCTTCGGATGCAAACGATGACGACGGTGTTATAAAGCTGGTCGCGCTTTTTGACGATGAGGAAATTGGTTCTCTTTTGCGCCAAGGTGCAAGGGGCAATTTCCTCCCGTCCGTAATTGAGAGAGCCGTCGAGTCCCTATGCGGAGAGGATAAGGCATTTGGGCCTGGCATTCTAGGTCAAACGTACGCGCAGTCATTCCTCGTGTCGGCCGATGTCACCCACGCCGTAAACCCCAACTTTTTATCTCGTTACCTAGACGGACATGCACCTCGTCTCAACGTTGGAATTACCATTGCCGCAGATAGCAATGGCCACATGACTACGGATTCAGTATCGACTGCAATTCTTACTAGGGTTGCTGAGTTAAGTGACTGCACACCGCAAGTCTTCCAGATCCGAAATGACTCTCGAAGTGGTGGCACAGTTGGACCTATGTTGAGTAGTGCGATGGGTATCAAGGCCGCGGATGCTGGAATGGCCCAACTTAGCATGCATTCTATTCGTGCAACATGTGGTTCTCTAGATCCAGGTCTGGGTGTTAAATTCTTCAAGGGATTCCTTGACAAGTGGGAGAAGGTCGATGCTGAATGGCAGTGAAGCGAGCTACCCATATGATTTCAATATCAAGATCAAGTCGTGTACAGTCAGATGTAACAATATCCGCCCGAACCAGTTTGGGGCGATGTTAATTAGGTAGGTTTAGAATGACTAGGATTTAGCAACTTAGAGCCAAGCGTTTCTACTAATAGTTACTCAGGTATCGTCTCTATCTAGTTCGAATATAGCAATGCATGAGAGCTTATGTTAAAGACAAAATACACTGTATTCTACCCGATAAATTGTAGTGGTGTAAATATTGGCGATGACCAATGTCTGGGGAAAAGTGATCGTCACCTGTAGGAGCTCAGGAACCATTTTGTTATTCAGGACAGGGGATTTTGCATGTGAATGCGGAATGATGTAATCAAGGGTCCGCTAAACCCGCGGCAGTGGTTAGGTTTTGGAGGGCGCACTATGTATGTATGTGTATGTGCTACTACGTAAACTTGCTAAAGTCTAATTTTTGGAGATATTTGATTGAGAGCACGCGACTATCGTGTGATTAGTGGTATTCATTCAAATGTACAGATTTGAAGGCAAATTTTCTCTAAATAGCGTTGTTTTAAGATGGCCACTGATTGATTAAGACGGGATTAGGAGCTCGTAGCTAAATTGATGACGTGTTGACCAGCTAACATGGAAGAGGCCAGGGAATTGTAGGTTATAATTGGTCGAACTAATCAATAAACTTCAGCGTTTGGTTTTTTTTTGGCTGCTGACTTTTGTTAGATTGCTTCACAATATATTTTAGATATCTTCTATTTTCCAAGTTAAGGCACAGTCTCTTAACTCTTATACAATATACCTTAGATGCATTTCGAATTATTTTAATGAATCGAGCATATACCTCTTCTAAAATTTATGATATACTTTTATAAATGTTTTCTTTTCTAATTTGTAGAGTAATTACTTTACCTCGGGATAAAGTGGCGAGGCTGTGCTCGGTCAACTAATACATTTTTTCCCCCTAGCGCCGGCGAACCCTTAATCTTGTCTCTTTTATCAACGCTTCACGGACTAAATTTCAAGAAATTTGCCTTTTCCATACCTATTCTTGGTCAGAGTACCAAGTCTTTTGCTTGGTCTTTTTTTTTTATATCATATTCCATCCGTGAGCATTCAAACCACGGAACAATTACCGTGGTAAACTAGCTCATTACAAACTACCCTTAGCAACTTACCATATTCACCTATTTAACTACGAAACCGAGAGTCGTTGGTGACGATCCATGGCGCAACCAGCCAATCCTTCAGAAACTGACAAATGGAGCTCACTCCTGTCACGATTGAACCCAATACCGGGATTCGCGGAGTATACGGGACCTTACAAGGTTGGCACCGTGGATGTTGAGATCCCAGTCTCAGAACTCGAATCACCGGCTCCGACACCGAGCATTGCGGCAGACATAGAGACGATACAATTCCGAATATTCTATCCGGCGCATCCGGATTCCCAGGGCAAGCGCATAACGTGGCTACCGGCTCCTCAGCGCGAACATCTATCTGCCTACATCCAATTCTTAGGAATTGGGCAACTACTAGCAGAGGCCATCTCGTAAGTCCAGTGAACTTTTATCATTACAATTATGTGGCATAAACTCATATAAAACTTGCAATAGCTTCCTCCCGAGACACCTACACTACACTTCGATCCCCGTTATTAAGAATGCGCCGGTACTCGAACCTAACACCCCGAACAAACGGTGGCCGACGGCCATATTTTCCCACGGTCTTGGCGGTAGTAGAAACGCATATTCGCAGGTAGTAGGCTCGTTAGCCTCACATGGTGTCGTGGTAATATGTCCCGAACATAGGGACGGCAGCGCTGTTGCATCCTTTATCCGTATCCCCTCACAGCAAGACCGGTACTTCGTACGCAGCACGCGCCGTATGGTCCCTTACCTCCGCGTATCACATGTCGCCACGGACGAGGTATACGCTCTACGAAACGATCAACTCCGAATACGGTTGTGGGAGATGGGCTTAGTTCACGAGGCTATACTAGGCATCGATAAGGGTCTGTCTCTGACAAATCTAAACAAGAGCACCCCTTCTCTTTCCCCGTTCATCGGCAAACTGCATATCCACGAGCCGGGTAGCATCATCTTCGCCGGCCACAGCTTCGGCTCAGCCACCGTCGTCCAGTTCCTCAAATCCGTATTCTACGCCGGCCGCCCGGAGCTCGAAGCCATGTCTGAGCAGCTATACGTGCCATCCCGCACCTCTTCAATCTACAAGCAGATCACGCCGCGCAACGTTGCCATCCTCCTCGATATGTGGTGCTTCCCCCTCCTAGCCAACACCACGAAACCTCTCTTCAACCTCCCGCTCCCCGTGTACGCCGCAGACAACTCTTCGTCGCCGGGCGGCAACGCGCTTCTGGCGATCGGATCAGAAGATTTCTTCAAGTGGAAAGAGCACTTGCATGCAACGGCGCGAGTACTATCACCGGATCCGTCGGCGCCGACGGTGCAAGCCACCGCTTTTTACGAGGATAACGCGTCGGGCGTTAAGCTCCCCGAACCGAATTTCTTCTTTGTAGAGCGCTCGGCGCATTTGTCCCAGTCAGATTTCGGAGTCCTATTCCCGCGGCTCACGCGCAGGGTCTTCGGCTCCGAGGAGCCGGAGCGCGCCCTCCGGCTTAACCGCCGCGCGATGTTGCAAGTCCTGCGTGCGAACGGCGTGCCGGTCGCACGCACGTGGACGGGGGATCTGATCGATGGCGCGTTTATCGGGAAGGATTTAGGAGGGGGCGAGAATGGAACTGCGACTGTCGATGGTGATGCGACGACTAGCCAAGACGTAAGGGAGGGCGAAAACGAAAGTGGAGATGGAAATCATGACGTGGAAGTTGGAGATAGGAGCCCTGAAGACGGGATACACGATGACAAGGCGATCTTAGACCGTAGCGGACACGAGACTGTGGACGCCTGGCGGTGGATCGACATCGTGGGTATGGGCGAGGTGGTGGATGATAACGGCGAAGTAAAGGCGGGCACCGAGGCAGCGGAGGAGCAGGAGCCGCAGATGGCGGATGTTATCGAGCCCCGTGCTACGGAGGAGAACGTGGCGGAACAAAAAGCTAATACTAATGCTGTATAATGTAGTTGATTTAGGACTCGGCGTTGGATTGTATCTAGATGACCTTTTCTTCTTTTGTTAAGGATCCGGTTAAGACTGGAGAAAAAAAAGGGGGGGTTGGCTGACTTGGAAGCGCTTAGGGTAGACGGTGGGATTCAAATGTTATGGCGTTTTAAGAGTACATCACAGCGAAGGGGGTCATGTCGTGTAAAATTAGCTTCTAAGGCATCAGAGAAGCGTAAATGAATTGATGGTATAATCTGCGTTATTGAGAAGTATTAGGTTTAGGTTCAGTGGCATTTCGGTTCTCATATATATCTCTTACTCGAGCCTAAGGACTCTTAGAAGTATGGATATTGAAACACCCTGACACGTAGAACGATAGCAACTGCTTTATGTTTCGGTCGTCCATTGGAGCTTATATATATGCGTTTTGCAAGTTCTAACGAAAGCGTATGTCGTTACAAAAAAACCTTCGAATCTAAGAAACTAATACCCCTAACCAGTTCTATGAAGTTGAATATCGTAAAACTAAGACCAGACACCTCTAACGCACCCATATTACTCGTCAGAGTTCTCGTAGCCTCGTCGACGTCTCACGTCAAATATTTTCGAAGTATCCGGTCCAATGCTGATATCGTGAGTCGAGCTTTCTCCTAGAACCACGCGTTTCCGTCTCTTATCTTCTTCGTAGACCCAATCGACATCAAATCCACAGTCTTCCAGTATCTTTTCCCATATATATTGCAGATATCTTCTACGATAGAAGCTATCTGATATCGTAACGTCCCTATACTTGTCGAAAATACAGTCAGGGCATTCGACAATTTTCTTTAACATGACGTAGTCAAGGAATTCAATTCCGCGGGCTGCGTCAGGGTGTAGAAAATAACCACGGTAAGGAACCGATAAAATAGGCCCAGGTTCGTACGCTATGAGCGAATTCTTGTGAGCTTCAAAGAATTCCTCACCCATGAGAAAGGCAACGTACCCCATAGATAATGAATCCATGGGATCCACCGAGTCAGTGAGGCCAATTCTTTGCCGGACCATCAAATCGAATTTCACTATGAGATTTTCTACAGTAATATCAGGATCCGAATATCCCCACGTAAATCCAAGTACGACACGCTCTAGGAAAGTTTTGCCGAAGATGTTGAAATCAACATCTATGAGTTGACAGACTGACACCCAACTTTCAAGAGCCTCCTCTAATTTATATTTATCGGACAAGTTCAAAAATTTTATTGTATTTATCGCCATAGCTATTGGGCCTCGATTTTGCCAAAAGCATTCGATTTCAATCCCAGAGAGGCCTAGGAGGTAGTGGAATATAGCTTGGCCTTCGATATTGGATAAACAATATGGAGTAGTTGCTAGGGTTATAGCATTGTAGCCACTGATGCGAGTGGGCTTGTTAGGACGGGCATCCTCTAGGTATCTAAGTTATAATATTGATTAGGAGGTGCTTACCGTGTATTACGTGCATTGACATCTGCACCACTCTGTACTAGTGCTTTACAAATATCCAATCTACCGTGAAACACAGCAATCTGGCTCTGATTAGCATAATTGAGTACCGCAGTTGCTTTTGACGTATAAACTTACCATGAGCAATGTCCACCCATCCGTATGTCGGTCTGAAGGTGAAACAAACTTTTGCGACAACATATTCTGGACAGTACAGACGTCATCGTCCTCTATAGCACGGAACACTTCATGGTCGTCTGGAAGAACGCGATATGTCTTCAACCTAAGACCAAACTCGGGGCCTCCTCTCGCATCGGTTTTGTTCTCGTACGTCATTGAGAAGCCCGTAGACAACCAACTTAGCGACGGTATAAATTGTACCGTAAGCTGGTATATCTTTGTTGGGCGTCCGTGTTTGTTAAAATAGAGGTTGTCTCCGATGACAAGTACCAAAGTTCCAAGCCCAGTTTCCCATCTCCGCCGGCGCTGGTAGAGCATCGTTATGCTGTTCTTATCTCTCCAACCAGGAACCTGCCTCTTGAGGAGCAAGGGGTTCGGATCTTCGAATGAGGTAGTATATGATTCAGAAGTACACAAATCCATTTCGATCGTCTCTTTACTCTCGCCCACCACCCTTTCAGGATCATGTTGTGCTATCCTACTACGATGTTGCATCTCGAGCGTAGTAGGTGCGTTTTGAATGATGCTATCGAACCCAGCCCGGGCCGCGGATTGGAATTCCTTCTTGACTCCTGCGATGAATTCGTCTTTATACTGCTCTAATAGGGGCCGAAGCGCATGGGCTAGGGTACTGGAATCGCTAGCTAAGGGAGCTTGCTGGGTCACTGTGGCAAAAAAGGTCGAGTTCTCTACTTTGACATGAGCAATAGATTCCAATGTCTCCGACTGTCGAACCTGGATGTGCTGAAGGCCCGTAGTAATATTTTTCATCGAGGCTTGGAGATCCCCTAGCTCTTGGTTGATTAAGGAGCGATCGGTAATGGCCTGTTGCGCTGCTTGAGTGTGGAATAGCGTGTTTTCATTCCGCGCCTCTTTAACAGAGTTCAAGATTTCGAAATGTTGATCATTCACGGCCCTTCCTAGATCGGACTTCACATCATCAATTGACCTCTCTAGATCATTGAGCCTTTCTAATGTCGTCTGAATGTCATCCGTGGTTGACTGTCGTGCTACTTGGTGTAACTGTATCTGTCTACCCTGGGAGACATAATGGAGAGTAAGTTCACTCCTGAAGAACTGCAGCCTATTTGATATCTCCTCTATCTCCTTCTTGTTCCAAATGGCTCTGAAAGCTGTCTTGGCACGCTGAAGCCGGCTGTTATTTTGGCCATGCTGAATACCGCACGTCTTGAGGCGAGTGAGGAGGCTATCGGCAAGTTTGCAGCACTCGTCGGCTACTGGTTGAAGGGCCTTGTTGTTTCTCTAGCGTTAGCATCATAAGCCATATATAATGTGATTTGAATTTACTGAAGATTCTCCTACCTTTTCTTCGGGTGAAGCTGTTATAGAAGTTTGAGAGATGGCTTTGGCTGAGTCGCTGATGCTCTGGGCGAGAGCTTTCAGATGCGTCGTAATCACTTGGTGATCTCTGTTCTCTGACGAGGCTGCATTATTTCGGAATTCGTTCGAAATACGGATCAGTTTAGCTGAGAAGTCAACGAACTGCAAGACGTTCGATGCAAGCCCGACAGCTACAAGGGCCTCCATTGCTATGTCATGACCTGAAAGACAATACAATTGTAAGCGAAGTGTGCTAGTGAAGTAAGTGTATACCTTGTCATTATTCCTAACCTACTTGAAAGTATTCATGCGTCCTAGATGCATCGCCTCTGTGGAGGTGCAAGTAAGCCTATCGAGAAGCCTCGCAGCGCCTTTAACCAATTAGACATATATAGATGGGCTGAGTCTGCAGTGACACACGAGATAGGAATTCATACTGATTAGTAGGAAAAATCCTATAGGTTCTGTTCTCATTGCCATCAGTGTTTTCCATCCTCACAACTGCCGGTATATATATTCATTGGTAATAACTTAATACTATTTTCAAGGCTCGTCAAACAATCACCAATGTTTGCCAAGGCAGAAAGCCGTCTAAAAAGATATTAAACTAGAGGTTACCCCCTAGGTAACACAAGCTTAAGGTTTACATTGCATTAGTTATATCATTTTACCAATAGGACCTGAAAGACCCCCATATAGTGGAAGGACTTAAATGATCATATGCCTCTTAATGTTAGATATTAGCAATTTTACAGGCCTGAGGAAGTCAACCACGGCATTGAATTAGGCGCACACACATAAAAATAAAACCAAATATAAATAAAGGTTGAAAAAACCATAATCGTGTAAGGCAGGAGAGAATTCTCGCTTTAATTAGAGATTAACTCTGTAATTAGGGCGAATAAGAAGCTATTCCCACCTTCATTAAATCCTGAAAGGGAAAAAAGATTTATAAAATATTACGAAATAGTATGAAATATTATGAACATTGTAAAATATAAGAGAAATACGCCTATTCGGAAGTATTTCGGATCAATTTCTAATTATAAGGCCAATCCCTCATTAAAGCGCAGCATCCTTTAGGGTGCGATGGGCAAGTATGCGTAAACAGCATAAGTATCTCATTTAACATTTTATTCAATTCAATTAATTCAAATGACAATGTAAGGTCTTTTACCTCGAAATGGCTGCATACGACCGGGTAAGAACAGTATAATCTTGCATTGAATAAAGACATACAGGGCTGAAAACGAGGTCCTTTTGAATGATTTCCGATGTGTTAGATTGGGTGGCTGGTTGGCTATTCAGATGCCTAGCCATATTTCACGAGGCTCTTTGATTAGATATAAGGAACCCCGCTATTCATGTTTTTTTTTTAAAAAAAAAAAAAAAAGTTTACGTATGAAAACCTTCTTTAAAACATAATACTTTCGTATGTGCTAGTGATGGGTGCGCCTGCTTTTTTGAGGCCTTTCTGCGAGGCAACACGTTTAGCACGCCGTGAGAAATGTGGGTAAAATAATACAAGCCTCGTCGAAGCTTTAAAGAAGACATGTCGAAGCTACGGGGCCGTCTCGGCGCATGAACTCATACGGTTGAAGTTGCCTTGTAGGTAATAAGAGGCCGAGTTGTCGCGAATAATTGCCAGAATCCTAGCTTCTCCCATGCTAATTGCATCGCTAAGATGATCCGAATTGCTTGTTGGATCATAGATCTACTAGTCGCTCGGACTACACAAGGGAGACCTAGTAAAAAGATATAGGATAGCCAAAACGACCGAGTTTTACGCATGAAGATCAGACTTGTTAAGTCGGGCGGATAAAGGTTCTCGTCGGGGATCTGCTCGCTGAGACGGTGCCAAGAGCCACGGAACCAGCTTAAAAGACAAGGTTTGATGAACCGAAATCGAAAAGCTTGCGAGTGGATTTTATTCTTGGAATATCTATGATAAAAGAATAATGGTTAATAATAACTTGGATATAAGATCTCTTCATGTTTGATCTTAGTAGATATTATCTTAAAAGATCTATAGTAGTTAATGTTTGTATGTATAACTAAGACTTACACCTTCTGCACGTTCTACAAACTATAAACCCTACTAAAACAAGAAAGGTGAGGTCTAACCGGCGAAGTGGGTACGGTGGACTATTAGTCCAACTGTGCCAAAATCAAGAAAATGGGTGGGAGCTGTCCAAAAAGGGTAATTTAATAAGCAACGCTAGGTGCACAGTATCCTGAAATACCTAAAATATAAGATTTTCTATTATTTATTATTATTTTTTTTATTATATATATATGTAACACAATATATACTCAAATAACTTGACGAATATATTATTTCAAAGGTCATAATTGGTATCATTTTATAGCTTTAGTCAATGCGAAAATAACAATACAAGTTGCATATTTATAAGATACGTATTGGATAATTGGCTTGTCGTTGAAATATCTGCGGCCTTTTCAAGATGTTAGTCTTGAAGGGTATCACGTGTTAGCCTTTCAACACCTATTTGATATTGATATAATACTCCAGGTTAAAGACATATAAGGATGCAACTTGAATCATTATTTTCGCATTAATTGAAGCTATAAAACGATACCAATTATAAAATTTCAAATAGTATATTCGCAAAGTTATTGCAGTGTATAAGTTGTATCTTGTATATTTACGTATTTGTATATATTTAAGGTTAAAGTGAAGGTTAGATCTGATTGGTTACTATTTCTAGTTTATGGGGAAAGGGAAAGTAGCTCGTAATGTATTTAATAATGTTTATAATTATATGGCTTTTTCAATATCTTTACGAATTTAAGGTCGAGTAATATAAAGCCAGGGTTGAAATTTTTGTCTTTTTTCAATACAAATATCAATACCTTTTTCGAATAATTTGGACATATATTTGTAAAGTTATTTTCATATAAAAGGTATGTATTACTTTATAGATTGTGTATATAGTAGAAATAGCCGAGCTTTTACTGTATTCCTAAAGTTACTATTACCTTATTAGATATAGTGCGACCGACTTTTTTGATTTTGGCACAGTTGGACTAATAGTCCACCGTAGTGGGGTTCGACCAGGGTCCCGGAGATGGCATCTCCCGGGGTCTTTAGCTTCAATTTACTAGTTCCCGTTTCAGCGTCCCGGTCGGAAACCAAGAACAGCAACAAGGTTAACCCCTTAGGTGTCACGACCCGTTTAGATAGTTTCTAGCAAAATAATAGACATCACGTATCAAAAAAAGAGTCGGACCTTCTGTTTCTGTTAGGTTTACAGGGGGGGTTCATCGCGACTGAGTCGCGAACGTCTCCTTACTTCTTTGTCGCAAGAAACAATATTCTCCTCCATTCACATAATAGAAATGTTTTAATATCTGTAGTTCGTTGATCGAACAATAACTTCATACCTTACCTACTCTTATTTTCTCTCTTTCTTCCATCTTAATACGTCTATTATCTTCTGTTAATATACCTCTTTAATTACGCCTTAGACGTCATAGTTACTATTCAAATAGCGGGAAGACTCGATACCTCGCTTGTTAGTCTCTACCGTCGACTTTCATTACATTCAGCATAGGACCGCTACAATTAGAGTTGTGCGATCTTCTGTATAAGGATTTGGTGGTTTACTTGGTGGCTATATTGCTACCATTGAAATCGAGCTAGCTGCGTGGATCGCGGATTATACCGGTATCATCTAACTGGCCTTCTTTGACTGTAATGGTCTACTCGGATTCGTTTTGATTACATCCACGGCGGCTCTATCAAAAACGACAACGCTCATGGTCAAGTCGAAAGCAAGAAAAACGTCATTCTTTCTCCCCTTCTCCTAACCCATCTTTCCTCTCATCAACCTCTTCTCTTCTCTTCTCATTACGATGCCATCCATAATAGAGGATGCTAGTCCTCACACCAACTTCACTGTCGTCGCAGACCCGTTGCCTAGTCAAGTCTTAGGTGGCAGTCGCCTAAGCTATTATGTAGCTATCAGTGCGGTATTGTTCTGTATATGGTTGTTTCAGTCAGACAAGCAGAAATGCAGTGTCTCGGCACCTTTCTACCAGGCATCCCGATTAAAATGGATGTTTAATGCAGATACCTTGATCAAGGATAGCTACTCTAAGGTCTGTAACGCCTAGTCATCAAAAAGGTCTATAGTGCTAAAAATATTTTAGTTCCGTGATGCTGTGTACCAGGTCAAATCGACAGAGGGTGTGAGAACTATCATCCCGTCGTCACTAGTCAGCGAGCTCAAGGGTCTCCCAGAAGATACTTTGAGCGCGAGGACAGCTGTTGAAGAGGTCAGTTTTAAGAGAACCAACCTCATGGAAACTAAGGCGTTAACGATATCATAGGCTATGTTGAGCGAATATACCAACCTCTGCGCGGGATCTCACGCTGACACGCTGTCCCTACTCTTGAAGTGTAAGATGACTGGACAATTGGCAAGGATGACGCCACAGCTCAAAGAGGAGCTCGAGCACATCGTCGCCACCGAGTTTCCCGAGTGTCAAGGTACATTATGCAGATGACACTCGAAATGACTAGTCAACTGATAGATAATAGAATGGACTCCCTTCAAGATACAGCCTTTCATGATCCGAACGATTGCCCGTCTAAGTGGGCGTATCTTCGTTGGACCACTGCTGAACCGGACAGAGGAATGGATGGATGTGAGCATCAATTTCGCCATCACCGCCTTCATCGCGGTTATCAAACTACAATTCTTCCCGCCGTGGATGCGCCCTGCAGCACAATACTTGGTTTCCGAGCTACGCACGATCCGAAAAGATTTGGGAAGGGCACAGGCGATGCTTACGCCTGTTATCGAGGAGCGTATCCGTGACGCAGAGACCCCCGGGTACGATAAACCTGACGACTTTGTTCAGTGGTTGCAGGATGCCTTGCCGGAAGATCAGAAGACAGATTTCTATATTCAGGCCAAGATACAGCTACTACTAAGTGCAGCATCGATTCACACAACGAGTAATCTGACAACGGACTGCATTTACGATCTAGCCGTGCACCAAGATATGCAGGAGATACTTCGCGAAGAAGCGTGTGAAGTATTAAACGACGATGAGGCCTGGGAGAGGAAGGATAGCATGGGCAAGCTGAAGAAACTTGATAGTTTTATCAAGGAGTCTCAGCGACTGTCTGGTAACGTCAGTAAGTGTTATCCAAGTAATACAAATGCAAAGTTACGTCCTCTAACTTATGCAGCATCCTTCATCCGCAAAGTAATGAAGCCAGTCGATCTGTCCGACGGAACGCACCTACCAGCGGGCACCAATCTTCTCGCGCCTATGGCCGGCGTCGCTGTCGACCCGCGATACTATCCAGATCCCGAAGTCTTCGATGGGTTGCGATTCTGGAAACTCCGACAACATCAACGTTCATCCTCCTCATCCTCTTTCTCTTCACCTGCATCCTCTACCACCACCCTACCAACTTCAACTTCAACGACGACAGACGAACCCTCTACGAACGCAAACGGGCGATGGCAGTTCACCAGCATCGGTGACACAGCCATGAACTTCGGGCTGGGCAAGCACGCGTGTCCGGGCCGCTTCTTCGCCGGCTGCGAGATCAAAATGGTCCTCGCGTACCTACTGCTGAATTACGACATGAAACTACGGGACGGCGAGGGCCGGCCGGCACCCAACATGTTTATGATGACCAAGAGTCCGAGTATGACAGCCGAGGTTTTGTTTAGGCGGAGAACGACAATTTATTCTTGATGACTTTGCTTAGAAAAAAAGGGAAGGGCTATATGCAGATGGTCATGTCTCGGAGCCAGGAGCTACCAGGATTGCTAATAAGTCCGATATGTAGGAAGTCAGATGTAGGCGGATGATTTAGGATATGTATAAAGGGAAATGAACGGAACTTGCATATACCAATACCCAACCATACACAGCATGTACATACTATATACCCAAGTTAGCTTATGGGCGTGAGGATTGCAGCATTGTTATAGAAGGCGTTCAAGGAGGCTTATATATTGGACAGACCTTAAAAACCTTAGCAGTAGAGCAAATAGAACGTTACCTCGAATAAAAATAAAAATCACTTAACAAAAAAGACCAATATTTGATTTAGAATGATATTTCATTATCAGAAAAGAATGGGGTATCTCTAGACTTGCTACGCTTGCTCTGAACATTCATATAATCTCCATCTCGTGACCAATTTCAAGGCTTTCCCGTGCTTCCACGTCGTCATTAGGTATCGTAAGTTCATCATGTCTTTCTTTTCAGACCGTTCCACTCGTCACAAAGCACGTCGCCTCAAGTAGTTCCCCCAGTATCGTCTCGCTTCCAGAGCCCTCCGCACACCTCATGAATCCGACCCCGGGTGATACTATCGTAAAGGCGTGATGGCCAGCCATTGCCGCGGGATAACCCGATAAAAACCAAGCCTCCTTCCTAAATACCCATGGTAACCCAACTCCCAAATGCTCTTGATCAGAAGCAATGGAGCTCTCCCGGAGGCCGGTCCCGCGACAATGAGCAATAAAGTATTAGATGGTAGATCTTGCCAGGCTATCAAGCCTGGGTAGAAAGGTAGGTAAAATAGATGCATAAAAGTTCGTATATCCAGAAATGAAAAATATTCGCCATGATCCCAGTCAAGGGAAGAGCGAGTTAGTTTGTTAGAGCCGTACTGTTTTACCGGTCTCGTATTTATATGCAATGACTTCAAGTCTTCTGGCACCTGCCATTTCTTATGCTTAAATATAAAAAATTGATTTTCATGATAGGCTTGCGCCATCTTTAGATCTTAAATGATTTCTCGCGATTCTCGTGTAAATTTATTTTTCCTGTGAGACAATTTCGAAAGGAAATATAGTGCAGGGGAGTATAAGTCCAGGATAGTATAGATTCTGTACACGTCGATAGAGATTAGGTTGTCCAATAAGGGAGGGAATAACTCCACCGATGGAGGGGTCCGGGGATTTCGAGTTCCAAAAGTTAAGTCGTCGAAGACATCGTGAAGATATAAGGATCATTATATGCTTGCAACTCTTCCTCCCGCTTCGGGCATCCTTGCATGACATACCATAAGCTTGAGGCTCGTTCCCCACTCCTCGCATTCGGCCAGCAAAGACTTGTCGTTCCAGATACTGGTAGTCATTCCGGTTGGGGTTTCGTAGCATCGGTTATACCACCATCGTCCGACTTTCGAAACCATCTTCGTGATATTCTCGTCGCCCATTTCCGTCTTATCGTTCATCATCTCCGCCAGGCTTCGCTCGTCCTTCTTGCCTTTAACGTGAGAGGAGCTTGTAATCGCACTCGCCACGGGCACACCAACGCGACAAGTCTTGACATCAATGAATCCTTTCTTGCCAAGGAGGCGAAGAATGAGGTCTGCTGTGCTGCTAAGATTATAGTCGGGATTACGTGCGCTGATTCGCTCCTTGAGTTGACGTACTGAGCGCCGAGTACGGTTACCCATATTATTCAAGTCCGCATCGAGGATGGATAGTTCGATGTATCCTCCAGGCTTGAGAACACGCCGCGCCTCTGAAATGATATTGCGATAGTGAGATTCTGGGGCTGCAGACGGGAACCGGAACACGACTGCCGTAAAGCTATCTGGTCCGAAAGGAAGCTTGTCCATATGTGATATTAATTGGATCTGATGATGATTGGGTGGCGAGAGGGGAAACGAGGGGGTCAACTTTTGCTCTGGTGATATTGGTGCACGAGGGGATAAGTTAAAGAAGGTTGCATCAGGGTAGGTTTCGGCAGCGTAGAAAGACCAGTCGTCATTTCCAAGGCCATCAATGACAAGAATTGAATGACGCTTGAGTGAACCGACGTCATTAATGAGGTCTTCGCGGACCGGGCTGAATAGTACATGGCCAAATGTGAGCCATTTGCTCACAGTCATTGAGCCCACGCGAAGATTAACCTGGGAAAGAGGTGTTTCTTCGCTGGCACGACTACTAGTTGAACTTCTCTTAGTCTTAGTACTTTTGTTCGAGGAAGAGCTATCTCGTTGAGAAACAGGTTCCTTGTCTGGTTGTGGGTTACTAGTATTGCTGTCGCCATGTCCAGATACGAATTCCGAGGCCGAAACCTGTGTTTTTGGTGCATCAGTGCCGAATCTGAAAGCCGCGTTGATTCTAGCTGTCATATCAGCGCTGAAGTGACTTGACGAGGTAGCACTTTTTCTAGTCCCGATAGAATCACGAGTGTCCTTAGCCGGATGATTAGTAGCGGTAGGTGATTCAACCGACTTGCTTGATTCCTTCGCCAACCTAGAGCCATAGATCTCCAGATGGAAAGGGACACCCCGAGAAGAGGTCGCTGATGGCGGCACCTCACCCAAGAAGTCGTTGTATTCGTCCCAAATTTCGTCCTCAGTAAGCGGGGCGTTCGGTGTTGGGGGCAACGGAGTATGCTTGAATACATGGACTAACTCCGAATTGCTAGACCCAGAGCTTGTCGTGCATTCAGAACCTTTTTGAGGTGAAAATGAAAGAAACTCTTTTCCAGCTTCGCCAAACTTGGGAGGCAAATCTTCAGAAGGTGGTTCTGGTTTGATGGAGGCATTATAACTGGTGGTTGTTACCGGTAGCTCCGTCTGAGCACGTTCAATGGATAAAGGCCTTGTTGGGCTCGGACCCTTCGCAACGGAGTCGCCGTCAACTTGACTTAGGTCGGGAGGCGGTCTTTGGAGACTGATCCTATGAAAAGGCCGAGAGAAACTCTTCGGAGACGTCTGTTCTGGGCGGGTATTGATAACTTTAGGTATCCTGCCAACTTGAGGAAGCCTGCTCGGGCGGACTTTGGGATTGTTTGAAACAGAGATAGGGGCCCCGTTTTGCCGCTTCAACATCGGAGTTTTTTGCGATTTTGTATAGAGAGCAACGTTTTGCGCCGGTTTTGGCGTAGCCTCTTTCAGCTGGTGTTGGCGGATACGAGGCGGCTCTAAAGATCGAATACTGCTCTCGGATGGCCTTCGATCGTGATCATTAGTAGGCATAAAGGGAATTAGAATCTCTGCTTCTCTCAAGATTTCGCAAACATCTTGCTCCTCGGTTTCATCTTGTTCAGAAGAGTCCATCATCGTATAGAACGCGACCGGCTTGGTTGGAACGTGCTTCACTGCCGCGGGCACGCTCGCCTCGACTTTATTACTGTCCTTAGGAGGTTGGCTTTGCGATCTCCCAAATAGGTTCCATTTACGAGGAGACCTCGCTCGCTTAGTGAGCTTTCGTGGCCCGGGCTTGGACTCAATCTGCTCGCTGACAGGTTCTGGTCGAGGCTCCGCAAAAGAGTCGTCGGTCAAGATCGTCGTTTCTATGCTCCCTACCGATGGAGAGGTTATTCCTCTAGTAATAATTGGTTTCGGAAGATTCAAAGGAGAGCGGTCCGGGGATCGCAGTCGTTGAATTGATCTTCTAATAGCAATAGTAGGCTTCATCGAAACAGCTTCTGAGTCGCTACTATCCGAAGGACGAGACTGTATTGAATCACGGGGGAATGCCGAAGGCCACAACGTTTGTCGCAATTCCTCTCTCGAAGATTCGGATACGGACGAATTGTTGCGGGAACCAATACCTAGACGACCCGGAATCGTACTCTGACTGCTTTCGGTCCGCGGAAATTCAAAGCTGGTGTTTCGGTTTTCCACAATCTCGCCACCGGCAATTATCACAGGGTTCATTCGTTCCAAGAAGAATGGGTCTGTTGATTGAAGACTCGCAAGGCTTTCGGATGAAGAAAATGAACCCGGCAGACCGCGTGGGGGGTTCACGGCACCGCTGCTACGCTTTCTAGCATGGCCTAACCTACCGTATCCTTCGTGGCCTGTTCCGGCAGCTGGTCCTTTTCGAGCCGGCTTATCTTTCTTGTCTACCTGCGGTAGTTCCGGAGCTGTCTTAGTTCGCCTCCCGAAGAGCGGAAATCTTGTTTTGAACGAAGTGGCTGGGCTAGGTGTCCTAATGGTTCTACCTTTATCTTGGTTTGATTGGGTGGTTTTCGTAATTATTGCTCGTGGTGCTGGTGTAGGCTCTCGAGATACAGGTCCTTTTGATAAAACCGGGTGGTCTTCGGTAGAAGGAGCCATAGACCTTGGCAGCGAACTGGGTGCGAGCTGGCCACTCTGACGTCGATCAGCGAGACTTGTTGAAGATAGGTTGCTCTGAATTATGGGAACCGGACCACCAAATTGCGAGTAAAGGTCGGGTGTTCCATCTCTGCTAGGCCGCGAGGGCGGTGTTAGGCGACTCTTAGGAGATGTTATAACTTCCTGAGATTTCTCGTGGGATGACAGATTAACTTTCGCCTGAGGCGGAGACCTTATCGAGGGTCTAGTAACTACCCGAGGGGCTTTAATTAACGATTCGCTTTCTCCTCCACTTTTCTTAAACTTTTGAGATGACTTCCTAGGAGGAGGGTTCGGCATCGCAGGTGATAACCCTCGGCGCGTTTTCTTCTCCTTATCTTCGGGACGTACTGTAGAGTTCGATGACGACGAAGTCAACGCCTCCCGAACCGCAGCAAGACCATTGGGATCGGTGCCGAAAGTGTCTCCTTCATTTGGTATACTACCAGCCCTTCTCCGAGTTACAGGCGGCCGAGTCTGAGCTGGACTTGCTTGCCTTGCCCTAGAAACAGGAAGACGGTATGGTACAAAGAGCCCAGGCGACTGCGATGATATCGAGGTTGGAGTTGTATCTCGGCTATAAGGCCCAGTTCCAGGCGACTCGGAAAATCTAGTAGAA